TCTGACGTTTCTTGTGAGGAGGTGAAATTCTCTCTCTCTCTGCTGTTTCTCTCTCTCTTGTTTCTCTCTCTGTCTGCTGTTTCTCTCTTGTTTCTGTTGTTTCTCTCTCTCGTTTCTGCTGTTTCTCTCTTCTCTCTCTCGTTTCTTTCTCTCTCTCTCTCCCTCTTGTCTCTTTTTGTCAGATCATTTTTTGTTGTGCGAAACGATAACGGGCGAGAGATCGAACGGACGGACGGACGTCGGTCGGTGTTGTGGAGTGCTTGGCTGTGGTCGTGCTTGACACGGCAGAGGCTGTCGAGTGACGGGAGGCGTGTGGACTGTGTCCTTCTTCTAGCTTTTCTCGTCCGCTGCTGGGGCGGGCGACTTTGTCAGCGTCCTTGCCCAGCGACCGACCGGGCGGGATGCCGGAAACTCGCAGGACGGTGTTCTTCACCGTCAGCTGCTTTCTCGTGTCCTTTGTGCTGACCGTGACGGCACTCGGTACTCCGGCCTGGATCATCACCGACTTTCAAGGTCCGTTGCTCTTGATCCACCTACTTTGCCTGCCATTCGGCTTGTCCTCCCAGCAGGGCCGTCGTCCGGTACATTTGTCGCACTCAACGTGCTGAGACTCACCCCTGCTTGCATTCCCACGCCAGGCATGTTTGAATATGGCTTGTTTGTCGAGTGCACGGCTCTCACCTACAACGGCGAACAGCGTCGCACTTGCGGCAAGCCCGCTGAGCATTCTGGCCAATGGCAAGCCACCGCCGCCTTTATCATCATGGGCCTCCTGGTCCTCGTCGGCGCCATCGGTTGCGCCACCATGGCCATCATTCGTCAGCGCTACATGGATTATGCCCGCTGGGCAGGGTTCACCGCCGGTAAGTCTCACCACACTTGAGTCGCCCCTTTGAGTTTGGCTCTTTCTTTGCGTCAGGTCTTCCAGCGTTTTACGCGTTGCACAGTCACGTCTCACCTTGCCACGGACCTGCAATCGTCAATTCAAAAGCCATTTTCTATTCAATCGCCTCCCTCATCTTTCCTGTCGGATTTACGCGCGACGATATTGGTGGCGAGGTAAGCGGCCAGTCGAGCTGCCGCGCGCTCCTCTCTGGCTCCTCCCGACAGCGTGTTCCTGTCCCGCCGGCTTGTTCTTCGGGACTGATCGCCCTCTCAGAGCGAGCTGGAGCTCCGCCCGTCTACCCCCATGCCCATATTCTCATCCTTGCACTGTGCTTGGCCTTTTCTTTCTCTTCTCTGTCTTTTGGCTTAGCCATACCGTCTGCCCGAGCATACCGGCGTGGGCTTCAGCTACATCCTTTTTGTGCTGGCCCTCATTTTCATCTTCATTGGCGAACTCGTGGCCATGAAAATCGTGTGCCAATGAGCCTGGAGACGCCTCGCCCTAAAGGCTGTCCGCACAGACTACGCTGCGTCGCGCAGCTAGCGCCACGCGCTTCCAGGCTTCTTGTTTTGCCGACTTCGTTTTCTCATTTTCTGTCTTTGCAACGTTATCATCCGGCGTGGTTGCAACTGGGAATCCTTGCAAACCAAATACTCTTATCCCTCCTTGTCGGCACGCGCTTGAACACTCTGGCACTGCTTGACTCTGAGGCTTTGTTGTTGATCTTGGCACAAGCTACATTTTCCCATCCGGCATGCCGTTGCCACTGCTGCCCGTTCACGCGACTCGTTTTTTTGGTCAAGAAAGCCACAATGTCATTATATAAACAAATCCAAAACCCTCCTTTGCGACTGTGTTCCTTCTCTTTGGCCATCACCCGCAGAAACATATCAAACTCAGTCGGTGTTTCATCACATTCTGCCCCCCACTGGTCAGCCAAGGGCGCTCGGGGTTTGGCGGGGCGTTGCGGACACCGGCCATGTTTATACAATCAGCCATTTGAGAAAGAAGAACAAAGTTTTGCGATGGTGAGGGCCCGGGCTGGTGAATGCCCACATGTGTCTGGTCGAGAGGGCGTTGTAGTCGGTGCAATTGCCACGTTTCAGAAGCAATCAATTGCTACAATGCACACACTTAAGGCAGGAACGGATGGCTGGACAAACTCAGAACCAGCTCAGACTCAAAAGACTCGGGCAACAAATCACATTCACGTTAGCCTGCGGAAGGCCAGGACACAAACGACATACCACGCAGGAATCCACAGGCCTTGGAACCCGATAGAAACGAGAAAGCCTTGCAGCCACTTCAGGAATCGGCACAGATATCTGTTCACGCAGGGGCAACATCAGATACCAATGCCGAGCTGCGCGCTCGGTATCCACCCCATCATTTCCAAGCACAAAAAGGCACAGGCCTTTGCTGTTCTCTTACCGATTGTTGCAATGTACCGGTAAATCTGCTCCGAGCTGTCCGACGAAAGCAAAACCAGCAGACATGAGGGTATAATCTAGCCAGCAAGGCTGGCAGGTGTATGGTGTTGGCCGGGCCAACACTCCCTTCTTATCCACTTGAGCGATCATGGGAATTTTCGTGGCATGGGTGTACATACCGAATTCATGAGACCCCGGATCGCCGAGTCATGCGTTTGCAAGTTCACTGGCTCCAAGTACATGCCTTCTTGTAGCTCTCGTTTCCACCATGCGTTGCCCTATGTTCAAAAACAAACCATCAGGCCAATGTTGTCTCAGAAGGAGCGAGGGCTGGGTGCTCGAGGGGACGCCTTCTGAAGACCTAGTCATGTTCGTGGCCACTGACCTGGTCCGTTGATGTGTAAGAGTAGGTCCACGCTCGAATGCGTACGTAGAGGGGCGGATGCGAGGGATCCGCCCACAGTTCTGATGCTTGAGACTGGGCAAGCAGGCCATACACATCCGGGCGTCCTTCAAGAAGACGAACTGCCAAAGATTGGAGCCACACATTTTGGCGGATCGAGCCGAGCGCTGCAAACCACATTTGCCAGTCCACGCGTGGCTGATGGGGTGCTACAGCGCGTTAAAAACACAGGTGCGCGTACGTGCGTAGAGTGGTGCACCAGTCAGGGTGAGCAGGCATCAGTGCCAAGTAGACACGCCGAACATCGGGTCGTCAGTAAGCCCCGATGTTCAACAGCAAACTTGCTGTCCGGGCCGGGTGTTTAACGTACCAAGAAATGGCAACGTGTCCTGAGGGCGATTGGGCTTGTACCGGAACAGTAGCTCTTCCCAATGCCGGCCATCGACGCTACCCTCGACGGTCAGCTCTGGTCGGCCGCCGACGCCAGTCATGCGACGAAAGAGGCCGTAGCTATTGACCACGCTGAGTTCCCGCGTCCAGGATTCAGCAGCCTGCGCATACTCCCAACCGCGATAACCCGCCAAGGGGCTACTTCTGTCATTCCAGCGCAATGTTTCGAGCGAAGCAGCAAACAATAACCCGGCGGCAACGACCGTCGCAGCTTGGACCAAGATGCGAAACATCGATCGACTATAGAGGCAGAGGACAACGCCAGCACGTGAGCATAGCCGCCGGATAGCAAAGGTGAGAAACAAGCATTCGGTTCATACCTGCGCAGTGTTGACCAAGTTGTGAAGAGGAGGTTCAGCGCAAACCCTGCCACACCCACGGCAATGCCAAGGTGCATGCTTTGGGTCACAAATGTGGCAAATTGGGCCTTGGTAAACTGTATTTGGGTGGTTACGCGCAGGCCGGTGGCCTCATCCCAGAATACCGCCGCGCCAAAATAGATGTGCATGGCTGCAATGGACGCTGCCACGGCGGCCGCCAGAAGCAGCCGGTCAAGCCATGCCGGTGTATCCGGAAGCTGGCAAGCTCGCGGATTATGGTGCTTGCGCAAAAATGTAGCCGGTACCCAGCCGACGAGATCTGAATGGCAGCAGCGCCAAAGCGATACGCGCAGCGTGCATTAGCTCGAGAGCCGTCAACTCATGTTGCTCCACCACAGCTGCTAAGCAAGGTCGCCGACCTGTGTCATAAAAGAGGGGTATACTCAATACCGCCGTCAGGATGTTGAAAAAATTGTAGTTGCCAGTGACAAAAATGAACAGCTATGGCACGACCATGACCCATGTCAAGGTGAAACTGCATCGCGGATGACCTATTGTAATTACTCAAATGCCGCACAGGCGACCAAGCAAATTCAACACACCATGAGGGCGGCTTGCGCTAGGCCTGCAGACAGGCGGACGCGCTTGCTAGGAATAAAAAAGAGGAATGGTAGGCCTATTTCGACCACGTAGACACCAACAGTGCTGAGTGCCTACGGGTCGAGAAACAATACCGCACCGATGAGCGCCCGTTTCTCGCTCCCGCAAGAACGCAAACCGATGCATGCGAGAGCTCAAGTACGCACCTGGAACCATTGCGGGAGCTGGTGCGCATACCACGCCAGCGGGGTGGGAATGCATTGTGATTCATAATGCCAATCCAAAGCTGACAAGCCCCACCACGTAGGGCATTGGCTAATACGGAACGCATCAGACACGGGCCAGGGTGCAGGTGATCACGATTTTGATGGAAGTGTGTACACAGACCATCAGTTGGGTTGCGTGAAGCAGTGGGCTTGGCAAACAGTACCTGGTGAGCTTCACAATGCCGGACAAATACATCAGGCGAAAAAACAACCACCGAGCCAAAAACAGGCCCATGCCTGCCAAGACGTGCGCATGACACGCCAATCAGATAAATATGAACAGAACAGTCCAGGCTAGGTCGTCCTCCTGGAGCCCATAGCGCGAGCTAGCGCCACGGCGGGATGCGGTCAGGTGGGACAGCGTACCACTGCTTCCATCAGAGAGGATGTAGTTTCGTGATGAGGGATCTGTGCTTCACACCACAGGTGAGTGTAAGACAAACTTTATGGGCATGGAGCAGAGACGGGCGCAAACGTGCCGGTCGAATGGCGCTTCCAGGGCAGAGCCACCGAGGGCGCTGTCACGATTGCCAGTGTGCCAACTTCAAGGAGCAAAATGTCCCACTGTTGAAGAAAAGCAAGAGTGGTTGGATTCACAACGGCAGCATGAGCCGAGCCAAGCCCGAGCCGGGTTGGGCCAAGCATAGCCATCGGGAGATGAAGTACCTGAAAGTGTAGAAAAGTTTGTCCCACTTGATAGAGCGAGCCATAGGCCAGAAGCAGGCCCAAAAAAACCAGTTTGGTGCGAAAGAACCTACACGAGTTGAGGTCATGATCTGGTGAAGCATACCGTTTGTGGCAACGGTTTATGCGACACACGGGTCTAAGTGCTCGCATGCATGCATACCAGTGGAACAGGGCAGCCACAGAGAAGATGCCACCACAGAGCGCCAAGAGCTCCATCATGGATGCCGGCGAGATATCGAGCAGCTCATGCAGCCAGACCAGCTTTCCAAGCACGATTGTTGTGGCATCAAGCCGAGAACAACAAGGTCACGCGGATGATGGTAGTGGGTGACACGAGACATGAGAAAAACGCGCACTGCACCGCTTTGATCGTATCGATGCTCTGCTCGGATGAGCCGCGAGTGCACGTCTTATGACCCCGACTTGCACGAGGGGGCAAGGAGAGTGGCGTCTCACCGTGGGCAGGGTTCGCAGTCGACTGTCGAGCGTTGTCAGGCCTCGCTCCTCGACGATCTTGTGCAGATGGCCATGGACGGGCAAGATGCCTTCTGAGCCGTACAAGCCCTACGCCAGTGGCAACGCCTGGAATGATGGTCCGTGCCTTCGCTTTGGGCATGTGGATCTGGGGCTCGTGTGCAGCAGAGGCGCATGCTGGCGCCAGATAGGAGACAGGGAGTGGTATATGCATCAACCTTGCCGTGTGCGAGCTTACTCACTGGAATCTGGACATAGAGGGAGCAGAAAGCTGCCAGGTAGATGGCCGCCACAGCCGCTAGCCAGAGCTGAGCCACTGCTTCCTGAGAGTACCTGCTGATCTGGGTCTTGGGAAGCACCTTTCGAGCCGTACCAGATTGCTTCTCTGACACTGCACCATCCTGGCCCGACCGGACTCGAGGACGCCCTGCAGCAAGGAACCCACCCTCCCCATCACCAGGTGCCCCCGGGGCGGCTGGCTGTTGCTGCTTGTGACGATGGCGCATCTTGGACCTACTGCAAATTAAACTGACCCCTCTTTTCTAAAACAGTTCATGAATGGACTCTTGAGCCGTTGCTTGACCAAATGCACACGGACACACGGGCACAGACACAGGCACGCAGACACAGACAGGCACAGACAGACACAGACGGACACAAGCACAACCAAGTATTCGTACTGGTGCGGTGTGTGCGATAGATGTATTCGTGTGGTGTGGGAGAAGAAAATTTGTTATCATAAATAACATGAAGGAGGCAGAATTGCGAAAAGCGGGATAAGCTGCTCGACTTCCGTGTTGACAGGCAGACACCCGGGTACTGACGAACATTGACGAGATTTCTCTTCTGTCTGCTTTGGTGCAATGAGAATGTTGGACCGGGGCAGGCAACAAGGCCGAGCTGAATGATCGATTGCTGTCATGAGGTGCTGCCAGTTCAACCGCTCAGCAGAGGAGAGCATAGCCCACGTTCATGTTGTGGGCACGTCGGCAGTCAGGTGCAAGACGGCGGGTCCAAAGAGCTAGCTGCAGGACAAAGTCGAGTAGCTCGTGCTCCTGCAAAGCCACCACCTCAACGCTGTCGTCGCCATACCAGCGTCGCGCAAGAGCTGTCTCCTCCTCACGAGCTAAAACGAGGCAAGGCGAGGTTGAGCAAGGCGTGGGTTGGTCAATTGGATTCACACCCAACGTCCAACCCGGCGTGCATGCGTGTGGGCTCAAAACCTACCGGGATAGAGCATGTTGGTGGTGTACAGACACTTGAGAGCTGGCGTGAAATTGGCCGGCGGGGCCAGGCGTTCCTCGATGCTGTGGGGCTCAGATGTTTCTTGCTGGCTCCAGACCTGCAATAGTCGCTCAGGTGAGGTGGGCCAGCCATGGTGCGGATCGAGGTCTTCGTATAGGTACGACTGCTGCAAAACGCACATGTACTGGTAAGAGACTGCTGCACCAAAGAGCCACAAAGGGCGGGTTGACGGCTTGGCTGTCGACCAGCTCACGGCTGAGGAGGAGCAAGCGCTGTAGGCCGGACACTTGCATCAGCTCCAACAGGTAGGAAGGCAGGCAATACCCGACGTCCGGCCCTTGAAGAGTGAGCCGACTTGAGTAGAGGAGCACCATGCCTAATCTCCCATCAGAACAGAATTCATGCACAATCAGAGGCTTTCAAGATCCCATCAAGCTCTCAGCCTTGCCAGACACGATGGGGGAAAACCGGGGGCGGCTGTGCCTGCGATGCCTCACATACCAGCGCTGTGTTGTTGACCCAAGCGGAGGCCGCAACGCTGGCAAAAATAGTTTGGTGTGGGAGCTTTGGTGGGTGTAGGGGTTTTATTATCACTCGGCGCAGCCGCGTCTACGGAGCGTACGGTGCTGCCGAGATCAGCACGAGGTGCCACGACCTGGTAGCGGTTATAAAGTGCCTGGCCAGGTTGGGCAGTGGGCTCGCGCTAAGCCAGGCAGAGGATGCGCAGTTCAAAGATCGGCATCAAGGTGGCACACAACAGTCAGAGTGGGGCAGGCATGGCAGCCCCCAAGTGTCCTTGCAAGTGTGTCTTCTTACCGGGATAGGCGTAGAAGATTCGCCGTGTTCATGACCGTGGGCATGGCCATGCCCATGGCCCTGTGCTTCTGTTGTACCTTTCTCATGCGCGTGGCCATGGCCACAGCCATGGCTGTCGCAGTTGACCATCTCTGCAAAGTCAAGCCAGCGCAGCGAGGGCAGACGATGTAGATGTGTGCGTGTCAGCAGTGTGTGGCCACACGCCCGGCACTGCACCGGGCTGTGGTGACGAATGGGGCTGGGCTCCAAGGTCTTGGGCGGAGGACCGGCTAAATTATCCAGCTGGAGCCGAGCCGATGGATAGGCTGCATAGTCGCGTGCATGCCCCCCCTCTATCACGGCTCGGTACGGGGTCGGCAAGGCAAGCTCCACTTCTGATTGTCGGGCCCCCTTGAGACTTGAGCCGCCAGGAAAGAACCAGCCATGAAGCAAGCAGCCGCATGAGACAGAACTATCGATGCGAAAAAAAAAGAAAAAAAGGACCCAAGCGCGCAATCCATTGAACTCACACAAGCCGTCCGTCAGCTCCCACGCGCACCGCCCCACCTGGTGCATTGTGGTACACCCGGGTGGCCAAGATGTGCGGTTGCACCTCCACCACCCAGGCCGTCGCCGCCGCCGCCGTCGCACTCATGGTCGTCTCCGTCGGCATTGAAAATGCTGACAATGCCTTTGCGGAAGAGTAACAATAAGCACACTTTTGATCTGCTTGAAGCCAAGAAAGAATGCAACACGCTTGCACGAGGTGTTGCGGTTAGGGAAGGTGAATAGAGGTAAACAACGGCTGTTGACAACAATTCTCAACAACGTGCGTGACGGTGACTGCTTTGTGTCTTGGTCGGTCGGCGCGCCCGACGTCGTGTCGCCGTCGGTGCCGTCGGTGCCGTCGGTGTCGTCGTTGCCGTTGAGGGTGGTGGTGATGGCGGCATCGCTGTTGAGACTCGCGCGTGGCGTGGGGTGTCGGGATTTTTTTTGGGGGAACTGAGGTTTCTGCCAGTCTTTGGCACGGCGCTGCAAGATGCGTGCATTTCAGGGTCAGGGAATGAGGCTCTGGGGCCTGGTTGAACAAGAAATCGCGTTGCACTGTGGGCTGGGCCCAGGGCTGTCGCAAGAGTCGGATCGTTTTACTTTCACCTTGCAACGCAACTCCACCTCTCATATACTGCTCTGCTTGTCTTGTGACATGACCTTGTCCGTGGCCATTCGCAGGCCTTTGACCATCACTCCAGCACAATGAGCTCGGACCTGCACCTCGAAGGCATTGCTCCCCGCATGCGGGTGCTGCCCGTCGTCTACTTTTCCATCCTCGACTATCATCTGCGGTGAGTACTCGGCTGCGTCGTGTTGACGTGTTTCAATCGACGGGGATGGCACACTTACAGCTGCTTCGGGTTCCCCTGTGCATGCATCTCCTCGTTGTCACCGACTTTGGTCAACTTGGTTGTTCGACCTGGTGGCTCACCACTCTGTCCCTGTCGCCTTTGGTTATAGTCGCGAGGCGCGTTGGGAGGAGACCACTGTCATTGATCCCCGCACCAACCAGGAGGAGCCTCGTCGTAACTGCAAGCCCATCAACGATCGTGTGATTGGCTGCCTTTTGGGTACCCGCACCGGCAACTCGGTCGAGGTGACCAACTGCTTCCCCGTTGGTCACGAGGACAAGGAGGACACAGTAGACATCCGTCTCGACTACTTTGAGAGCCTTCGTGCTCTACATGCCCAGGCCAACCCCAACGAGGAGATTGTCGGCTGGTGTGTGTGCTTTTTCTTTCTGCGCCCCTCGCTATGCCCAACTAGCCACTCGAGCTTGCACCGTTGCCCATCATCCGCCCATCTTATCATTTGTCCGCGGCTGCGCCGGTGACCATGACCCCGTCAACTCACCAACGCTTGCAATCGGTTGCAAAGGTACTCGACCGGCCCCGAACTGCAGCATGAGCGCTCCATCTTCATCCACCGCACGCTGTGCGAGGATTCGATGAACGATGTTCACCTCTGGATTGATACCAGCCTTGACACCGGCAAGCTCGGCATCTATGCTTTCACCACGTAAGGGTTTAATGTTCGCGACCTCAAACTCGACCGCCTTCCACCGACCGCTTGCGCTTGAAATGGGAGCCGACTCCTGCCGTGCCGCATTTTCCCTGACTTTTGCGCCATATCCGACAGGGCCAGCGAGGGTGTTCCGCGTCTTGTGGACGAGGAGCAGGATATCTACATGCCTGATCAGACTTTTGTCCCCATTGCTTGTGACGTGCTTGTGCACGAGCCCGAGCGCGTGGCTCGTAAGTCTTGCGCATACCTCGATCGTATTCGGAAACTTGTTCAAGTGCACCGCTACACAGGTGGTGGACGACGGACAAGTCATGAGTGACACACACTGACCCGCTTCTGAATATCTCTCCCCCCACAGTTGGCCTGCTGAACAAGGGCCTCGAGGGCGGTAGCTCCGTAAAGCTGGTGTCCGACCTGAACCATGTGGCTGAGGCCACGACCAACCTGCAGGACAAGATTCAGGATGCCCTGACCTACGTAGACAAGGTGCGACCTTTTGGGCATGGCTGTGCCGGCGACTCTACTGAGGGCGCACCTGCGGCTTGGCGTTTGGAAAAAGAAGAGGAAGAAGAGGAAGAAGAGGAAGAAGAGGAAGAAGAGGAAGAAGTGGCCAGCTCATGTGGTATATCTGCTTGTTTGAACATTTTTAGGTGTTGAATGGTTCTGTGGAGGCTGATGAGCGCATCGGCCGGTACCTGCGCGATACCGTGGCGGCCGTGCCCAAGATTGACCCCGATCAATTTGAGGCCATGTTCAACGACACCATTCAGGATCTGCTCATGGTTGGCTACCTCTCAAACCTGGCCCAGACGCAGGTCGCGATCCAGGACAAGCTCAACGATGCTCTCGCCACCGAAATCTAAGCTCTCATGTCGTCTTTACTGGAAATATGCCCCTTTCCCTTGGCTTCTCACGGTCCTTGTGGCTTGGCCCGTCGGTCTTGCTTGAGTTTGGAGGCGTGTGGGAATTGGCATTGGCGTGCCCTCGATTGTATCAACTTGATGTTTTGTGTTTCATTACGCTTCTTTGGCAGAGCGCCGTTGTTGCGCCTTGGGTTTGTTTTCGGTTGATTTGGTGCACTTCACGAGTTGGTCTCTTGTGTGCTTTGCGTTTGCTTCTTTCGTGTTTAGTGGTGTCGTGCCTTGACCACTCCCTCAGCCATGTTGTGCCAGCTTTTCAATTGCCCTGACCTTTGCTTCCTTCAGCCACGCTTGGGCAATGTTGAATATACGGCTCGCTTGTCTTCCTTTGAGCTCTGCTTTCCCTCCTTTTTTGTTGCGTCTGCCCTCTCCTGCCGTCTCTCTTGTCCCGTGTCCTGTCATCGGTCCTGTATGTTCGTGTGGCCCTTTCTGCAATGTCGCCGGCCTGGGAAAGTGCGTATCTTCTGTGCAACGGGTGTGGGTAGCGTCGGGCTTCCATGCGTCGCGCACTGCCACCCAACGCCCGCTTGCACGGGCAGCGAACGCAGGGGCCAAGATGAATCGCTCGTTCAATTCGCGCCAAGCGCTTGCGCGAGCATCAGCCCTTTCTCCTTGTTTTCAACCATTTTCGTCCATTAGTCATTGTGCCACCGGCTGTCTCCCGTTGCGACTTCGCTGGTGAGCAGCGTGCTGCTACCTTTATCAAGCCGTTCAATTGACTTGAATAGATACGTCCCTGGGTTGCATCTGTCCATGGTTCATCATGAGCCCGTGCGTCATCGTTCTCAAGCACGTCTATCGAACACGAAAATCCACCCAGTCGTGTGGGGCGCATTAAGAAGCGACATACCGAATCTGGTCGTCAATGACGAGGCCTGTCGCTTTGACGACAGCCTGCGCAGCTGTTGCGTTGAGGCTGGTCTCCCACAACTATGTGGCACGCGTAGTCGAGTGAGCATTTCAATTTGTTCAGACCAGCAACACAATCGCGCGTGCCCGTGTGTGTGCGTGTGTGCGACGCCTGCAAGATCGAAGACCCGAGGTGGGAGGGGGAAGCAGCAGACCTGAAGTGATTCCAGGTTCTGAAACTGGGCAATGCTTGCCACAACGTCATTATTCAACTCTGCAGCACACGCGAGCACCAAGCGCGGCGTCAAGGCGATGCCATTAGGTCGAGAAACTGCTATGCAATGACTGACGTTGACCGCCCAGGTCGAGCGAGTGTAAGGTCGTGCACAATGAAGGGCTAGTTGAGAGCTCCATCAAGCCTCGATTTGAAAAGTGGAGGCAGCCAGTCAACTGGGGTATTGCACGGCATTGGTTAGTGGTTGGAAACGATTGACCCGGGCTGCTGGACGGCTGGTTCATACCTTGAGAACTCGTAGGCGAGGCAAAGCAGCAATGGCGGGTGCCAAGGTGTCAGTAATTTCGTTGTAAGGGAGAAGCAGCGCGTCGAGGTGAGGCTTTTCCGACAGCGCTTCGGCCAGCAAATCGTCCACTCCCGTTTTTCTGCCAGCCATGACATCGATGAGCAGCTGTATCTATGCTCTGATGCCCTGCCTCTGTGTGAGATTTATGCGGACAAGCGCGTACCCGAGATTCAATACGCGCAGTTCCTTCAAAGCGCAAAGTGCTGGGGCGATCGCTGCATCGACACTCGTCTATGCAACACGCGCGCAATGAGTCGGGTTGTTCGAGCCACGCAGCATCAAGTTCTCGAGCTGCACGACGCCCTCACCTGCATGAGGGAGAGGTATTGTAACCTTTCCAGGCGCACAAGCGCGGGTGCGAGTTGATCAGTTTGAAGTCTTGCGTTAAGGGACACGTCAAGATCGAGCATGGTCCTGTTGTACCGTTTTCGGTAAAAAATCGGATTGAGCCCAGCGCGCAGACAGGACACACTCGGCCAGCACAATAAACAAAGACGTCAAGCTGGGGTGATGATTGGGTCGTACGGGGAAAAGTCTTGGAGAAAAGACCAATCGCGAATGCGGGTCACAAACGACAGTGCCAGCACGCGCATTTGACGATGATGGGTCAGCAATGCAGCACTTTGCTGGCTGATGGATGTACCGCTGACTTTGCAAGATAATAGGTTGGGATAACAGGCTGCCGTCGGACCGACCATCAGGGCTAGCACGTCATCTACCACCCCCGCCCCCGTCATTCGACAAGCCAGGTCGTGGTATTTTCCACCCACGTGCTCCGTGAGGACTATTATTGGATGCTTGGCGCGGTCGCAAGATTTGCAAACTACACCAGGACGAAAACATACCACTGACATGGCGAGCCCCACTCACATCCAGGTGTTGCAAGTGCTTGCACCGAGCAACCTGCAGAAAAGTCGCGCGGGCCACGCGAGTGCCAGAGAGCTGCAAGTACTAGTATGAGCGCCTGGCGTTCTGGGCGTCCTCAGTTTGCAAGGACCCATGGTGCTTACCATGATCGACTTGAGAGCGGGAAGGGCTGCGATGGCGGGTGCCACAGCCTCGTCTGTTAATGCTCGACTACGGTCGAGGCAGAGGGACGTTAGCCCACTAAATTGTGAGACGGCTGTTGCAAAGTATTCGCCAGACAGACGATGGCAGTTGACAAAGTGCAGCTCGCGCAGAGTCGAGCAGAACCTGGCATCAGACAATGTGGTCAGCCAGGCTTCATCAACCTGGCTGCCAAACAACTGTCCGCAATTAGGTGAGAGCAGTCAGCAGAAAGACGCAAGGGGGCAAAGCATCGATGAGCTACCGTCTCACCTTGAGACGTTTGAGAACTGGTATGCGGCACAGCGTGCGTAAGAGCGTATGGCTCAGCATGAACGAGGCCGTGTATTCGTTGAGAACATCCTGAAAACAAGTCGTTCTGTGAGCGTGCGTGCTTTGAGGTGTGGCAGGAGGCAGGGTTGCATACCCACTTGGAGCAGTGCGGGTGGCAGCTCATGCAAGCGAGACTGCGCGGCAGAGATGTGGTGGGCGGCCTCGAAAAGACAGCGTTCTTGCAACGACCACTGAATTTTGGGTCGAAGCCGACGAAAGCCACCAGCGCGAGCCAGCTTTTCGACCTAGAAGCAGTTGCGGCCGGACGGGGGTGTTCATCACCAAAGCAGCTCAAGGTGAGGCATGGTTGGGTGACCCGGGTGCGCCTTCAAAGCCAGTCACCTGCCAAGCAGGGGAGCAAGCGTGCTGACGTACGGCTTCACTATAGGTGCTACGGATTATGTCGGCTTGGCGGATGCCGCGACCGTGAATTGGCGGCGTGTGCTCGAAGCGATCCAGCAGCTCGCGGAGGCGGCGGAGGGTGCTGGTCGCCACGAGGTGCTCATGGAGGACGGCCTCCTGCATTTTTGGGAGATGAATACGAAGTAGCCAGAAGGAAAGTGCTTCGGGATCGTGGTAGGGCGGGGCGCCCACCAAGGCCAGTTCATTGCGCCAAACAGAGTTTTCTCGGTGCTGCTCAAAAAAGGGCTCCAGCAATGTTCGAGCACGCTGCACCTCATCGCCGATGAGCAGGAACTCGTTGGGTCCACGCATGATTGCGATGGGCGATTCTGGGCTGGGATCGGTGACGGGGAAGCCATGCACCAGCGTTAAGTCGGGAAATTCGGACCGTATCAACGTCTCTTCCTGGTCGGGTGCGGCATGTGCTGGTGGCGTCGTTTCCTGGATCCAGAACCGCGTCTCCACGTCGACGACGCATCGGAGCGCAGGCGTGCCGACGAGCACTTCACGCATGCATGTTTTAAGGCGAACGACGGCGGCCATCTGTAGAGGTGGCTCTCCCGGCCGAATCCGACGCCGCATACAGAACCGGTGGCCATAATGAAGCTGGCTCGCTCCCACGGCCTGCTGCGTTCGAGCCCGAATGGCATTGACCGGCACGCACTCGCCAGGCACCACCTCTCGCTCAAAGTCAAACAACGGCAGCGTTAACCTGGCCATCATCAATCCTCTTCCTCCCCCCCGCTTTCATCCAGTCCCCATCAACCGCTATGACACCGCCCAAGCCTCTCTCCTGACACTGGCACCGTGCCTCCGGGAGAGCAAGAGAGAGAGAGTAAGTGAGAGCAAGAGAGAGAGAGAGAGAGAGAGAGAGAGAGAGAGAGAGAGTAAGTGAGAGAGAGAGAGAGAGAGAGAGAGAGAGAGAGAGAGACAGAGAGAGACAGAGAGAGACAGAGAGAGAGAGAGAGAGAGAGAGAGAGAGAGAGAGAGAGAGAGAGAGAGAGAGAGAGACAGAGAGAGACAGAGAGAGAGGGAGAGAGAGAGAGAGAGAGAGAGAGAGAGAGAGAGAGAGAGAGAGAGAGAGAGAGAGAGAGAGAGCATCAACACTTTTTTTGTTGTGTTTTGGTATTGAGTGTCCCATGTTTTTCTGGCCAAATTGCAGTTATATACTCTTTTTTGAAAGTTGACGACGGTGTTCTTAAGGGAATAGAGGTAATCAAGCATAAGTTGACGTTGCCATTTACCACGTTGGCGTTGGTGTACGCGGTTTACTGACTATATATGTGTGTGTGTGCGTGTGTGTGTGTGTGTGTGTGTGCGGGATCGGGGTCGCCAGTGGGCGCCATCTCGTGCAGTGCGTCGTGAAAATGCGATCTGGGTACCCTCTATCTGGTATCCGTTGTATCAGCTGGATCGTCATGTGACTGGGTGGCGTTGCCGTTGGCTGCTTCTGCTGCTGCTGCTTCTTCTTTGGTGGGTCTGCCGCGATCGCTCACCGACACAATGTTGTCGCCCCTTGCTAGATTCCGAAGCCGTCGGATCACATCATGTCGTCCCATGCGCCTGGCTGGATGCTGCTGGCAGCTGCTTTGCTGCTAGCTCATGGGCACCTGCCTTTGGCTCGTGCTGCTGATCTGGGCCCGCTGGTGTGGGGAGCCAACATCCACTTTTCGGGTGGCGGCTTGCCTGGCGAGGTGGAGCAAATTGCTCGTGCGATCAAGATTGTGCGCATGGACTTTGGCTGGGGGTCCACAGAGCGAACCAAGGGCGTGTATGATTTTTCTGCCTTTGACGAGCTTTTGGGCAACATGTCCTCGCAAGGCGTGCGAAACTATTGGATCCTGGACTATGGCAACGCCCTTTACACAAACGACTCCAATACGGCACCCGCCACTGACGAGGCTATCCAAGCCTTTGCAAAGTGGTCCGCGGCCGCCATGACCCACTTCCAAGGACACAATGTCATCTGGGAACTTTACAACGAGCCCAATATCCCCACGCAGAGCCAGTAAGCTTTGACCTCTTTCCATTGCGTCCTACTCGAACCTGTCCTGGGCGACATCTACCGCGGCACCACTGCGCACCTTCGTCTAAAAGGGGTTTTGAATCCCATTGCTCACCTCCATACTTGTCGCCACTCTTTCAGATATGCCAGCGGTGTCGGGGCTTGGTTTCCGTACGCCAATGCAACCACTTACATGCGCCTTTATCATGCTGTCATGAGTGCCAAGACCGCGGCAGGCAAGTCTGCAGCGCCCCTTTCTTTTACACTTGCTCGCCTTTTTCAGTCCTGCGACCTAATCTGCGTCGGCACCGACCCAGGCCTGGACGATGTCTCCTTGGTGGCACCGGCTTCTGCCGGTATTCCCACCGATTTCCTGGTTGCGTGCTTTGAGCAGGGCATGCTTGATACCGTGGATGGCGTCTCTCTGCACCCCTACCGTGCCGAGACTCCCGAAACAGTCATGGCCGTAAGTTTAGTAGCTGCCATCGACCACTGTGCACTCTTCAGAGCAAAAGTCTGCTTTGCCCTCACGGCGCACCGCGTCCTCCTCCCGCCATCCAGGACTATGCCGCCTTGCGCGCACTCATGAAAAACTATACCTCGCGCGACGTGCCTTTGATTTCTGGCGAATGGGGTTACTCCACTTGCGCCAATGCAACGTCTGTGGTCACTGTACAGGTCACTTGCAAACGTCGCCTCCTATCCCGCACTTGCTCTTCAACTAATTTGGCCGGAATCTTTTGTAAACAGGACGCAAGAGCCTATGATTTGCAATCATGGGGCGTATACAGGTCAAAACACCCTCCGTGGTCAAGCCAAATTCCTCGTTCGACAGTGGTACGAGCTATCACTCAACATACGTGCGCATATATGCTTGGTTCATGCCAGCCGAGGCCGTAAGATTTACCTCTCTGTCGCCATTGTAGGCTGATCAATGCGTTGGAGAGTATTCCCGTTTCCATTTACTACGATTGGCGCAACGGCGGCGGCGACACCACCGAGGGTGAGCAAAACTTTGGCATCACCTACTCCAACTACAACAATGCTAGCTTGCCGTTTGTTCCCAAACCCGCGTACACGGCTGCCGTCGTCCTGCAAGAACAGATCAACTCCTCCACGTTTTCGACACGTATCGACGCCTTTAACACGAGCGGAGGCGAGCCGGACTCGAACGCCTTTGCGCTGGCTTTTGCCGGGGGCGACAAGCTCGCGGTATGGAAAATTGACGGAACGTTTGCCTGCAGTGCCACTCCACGTGATTGGGTTGATTGTGGTACGTAAAGAGCGACCTGAATTTCGTGATCAAGTGTATGCGTGTGTGTGTGTGTGTGGGGGGGGGGGGGGGGGGGGGCATTTCGGAGCAGCAGTGCGTGGCTCGAGGCTGTTGTTATCTGCCAGATCAAACGGCTCATCCCTGGTGCAACTTTCCTGGCATTGGCAACTTCTCCGGTTCCATCTCTTTTACTACATCGGCCAACACGACGTACTCGCGTGTCTCCATGCTGGGTGAGAAACTAGACTCTGTGACGACCAACAGTGATGGCCATGTCACCGTCGTAGTTGATGATGAGCCGCAATACTGGACACGAACCTGAGACCATTGTAAGCCAAGCTGAATGAGCGATCGGCTCTTACAATCCATTTTTATTCCTCATGCAAAACGTATCCCGCTCCCCATCCAGTCTGATCTAATGAGCAAAACCTGTCAACAGGTTTGCTTGAGAAAAGCGTGTGGAAGCAGAGAGTTGAGGGTGAACAGGGTCAGCAAGCAAAGACGGTGGTCACAATTAGACGACTTGCAGAGAATTTTACGGCGCTAGTTGACTTGAACCGTGTCACACATGCACTCGTGTCGTGCCCCGTCAGCTGCGTTGTTGCCCGACTGACCGGTTCAAGAGGTCATCCTTGCTACAGTTGCACGCTTGACTCAGCTGGTCAACGGTGGAAGTAGCAATGGTGGAGCTCGTTGTGCTGCCAATCACCGACACGGGCAGGATAGCAACCATGGCCATGGAGAGATCAACAGTTGAAGAAGAGCCATCCCGTTTGGGACTTGGTGGCAGATTGTCTGTTCGAACAAAGTGAGCGTCCAGGCCTTATTTCACTTGCTTGGACGTTTGGTTCGGTGCGAGTGACATCATGTCCTACACTTGTGCCACTTTGCGCCACACTGAGAAACGGTTGTGTTTGATGCTGACTATGTTTTACCTTTGATCATAGCCGTCCTGAATGTCATGTGCGCATGCTTCATGGCGGTGTCTTGGATGTTGCTGAGAAGTGATTATATGGGATAGAGTTAGAGAATTTGTCGAAAGGAAGCACAGCGAGCGTTATTGCGGAAGTGCTGCATCATTCCTTATGTCAAAAGAGTGTCTGTTCTCTCTGCGTCTGGCGCTGCAGAGCATCATCTGGCGCTTGGTTTGAGACGGAAAGGCACGCCTCTACCACTTTGTCCCGTGCCAGCTCATGAACAAGCCTCGACATTGTTTGCTGGCACCAGCCCTAACCACATCGACCCAAGGCTGCATTTGGTAATTAATTGGTGGTAAAAAAACACTCATGGAGACACAAATCATGTGATATTGCAAAGCGGCCACACGTAGAGAGATGAGATGGTTGGCACAGACACAAACTATGCCTCCCAAGTAATCTCGAACACTTCGCTGGTAAATGAGGTCATGCCTGCGGCGTTGACGCACCGCACGGCAATCTGGAGTTGCGCGAGGGATGCTACATTAATAACGTGGGTGGAGTAGTGTGTAGGGTCCCTGTCGCAGCAGACGCCAACGTCCAGGCCACCACGTCTTGTTCTCCAGGTGTCGTGCCAAATCCAACCTCATAGGTGGCTATGTTGTCAATATCACTTGGTGCCACAACGGAGCCCGTCACCTATTTGGTCGACAAAGGCACAAAACAAATTAAATTAGCTTGCATACGGGCGCGTGGTACATTCTCAAAAGCAGCGATAACTCACCAGGGCGGAAGAGCCTTGTTCGGACCACGCAAATGTCGTGGCCAATTCAGTGGTGCTCTGCTGCTTGGCATCTGCAATGAGCACGCCAACATGAGCTACTTGAGCTTGATGCACGCCTTTCACTTTCAATCCAAGTCAAGTTAGGCTCAGCCATCAACGCACCGATATCATGAAAGGGCTTGGGAAACAGCTTGTCATCAGTACCAAAACCTGGCACGGGTTGCTTGTAGCCGTCCAGCAGAGCGGCTTGCTGGTCGACCCGCAGCCACTCGTGGCGGATCGTGACGCCATTGCTGCGCGCAACCACAAATTGGTTGTAGGTGCGCCACGCACGTACGTAGGCGAAACATTCGATTCCATTTGCGTATGCCTCGGCATCCGGCTCCAACGTGTGCACGAACTCGGTAAAATGGCCAGCGTCTAGCCATGCACTTTCCTGTCCTCCACAGGGGTCACTTCGTAACGCAGCGGCGTTGCAGTTGCCGTCCAATGAGCACCAAGAGTGAATGTGTAAGGCTGTTCATCCCAATCCTCGCCGAGAATCAAGCCATCCTTGACACTGAGCGAGAATGCGCCTGCATCAACATTTGTGTCAAATGCTACGCTTTCAAGATCTGCCGGGCAATCACAAGTGCCTGCGCCAACATCACGGCTTTGGCAATATTGCCAGCGCCAGCAGCCGTGGAGCGGAGCCAGCACACCCCCCTCATGTCGTTGTATCAAAAAGGATTGCGTATGCCGCAAACCAACCGCGTTTTCCTACCGAGAAACCGAAAATGAGCAAGTGAGTAGGAGCCTTCACCTCGCTCTTCAACCACTGACAAGACTCAAGGGGCTGACCGAGGTAAAGGAAAGCAGTGACACTTCTCCCAGTGTCTGAGGCACGTCCACAACAAACCTAAACGCAACACAGAGATCACATAAGCCCATGTACATCCCATTGTTCACCTGGTGCTGTAGCAAAAATTATTTTGCTCAATACCAATGACTGCGAGCTCTAGACTCTCCATTGCTATCCTGTGCAACAATGACGTACCCGCTTGAGCGATAGGATGCAAAAGACACGGGGGCTTGATCGCCCACTTTGAAATAGTAGCGCGTGATTGCCGTCCCTTCTTCGTCAATGGGAGCCGAGACTTTGATAGTATACTGCCATTTGCCGCCCGTAATGGCGCCCCAAGCACCATCGTGATGAAGCTTGATAGCTGGCGGCGGGGTCACGTCCACAGCCAAAGGAGCCAGATCCTGGCTTCGACAGTTGCCTGCGCCGTCACAGCTTGTGATGCGTGGATAGTACACCTCTCCATGCTGCAACCTCAGGTTAAGCACGCTTAGGCTAGCATCGTATTCCAGCTCACTCACCACCGCAAGCTCGCCACCCGCCTCCTCGTGATGAACGGCCACTTCCACTTCATGATAGCGCACGCCGGCACCATCTGCATCGGTGGAGGTCCATTCGGCAAGCAACACGGAGCGCAGGTATTGGGCCGATACAGACGCCCGCGTGACCGGGTGTTGCCAAATAAAGCCGCTGACGGTCGGCGCTGTCGTGTCAACGCCAAGCGCGCGCAGCTAGGGTATCTGATGCACCAGCACTGCTGCCCAGGGCCAAGGTGTGCTTCACCACCGAGCTCTCATCGTCTTCAAACAGATCAAAGTCGACGCGAAGCAAGTAGCCAAGTTTGACTACCCCTTCCCCCATCGGATCCATCTCGCCCTCCAAGGTTCCCACAAAAAAGGGGGCGTCGTGTCCACTGAAATTGGGGTGCTGGTGAGCGAAGCCATGTTGCCTGCAAAATCCATAGCCTGCAACGTGACATAAATGGTTAGGCCGCTGCGAAGGTCTAGGCCTTGTGACAGAAGTGCAGAGCTTGCTGGCTTGACGTCGTAAACCGCGGCAATATCGCCCCGACCTGTTTGATAGCCAACCAGGATATTGAGATCGGCAACATCAGAGGCATTGACGTGCCAATGGAGCTGCAACGCCTCTGTGCCGTGGCCCACGTCACTGCTAGCATGGGGATGAGACAGCTGCTAGCTGCTGATGTGGGGCGGTGATTAATCAACGTTTACGTCGTGCGCACAGTACCGCCATGCTGGCGGCGGGGTGTTGCCTCGATGATGGACACGCAAAAGCGGATCGTCATGCCGTCGCTCAAGCGCAAGCCTTGCACCAAAGCGTATTGGGCCGTGGTGTTGCCCTGGCTGAGCCTAGTGGTGGCGCCGGTAGTGCTGGACACACTGGACAAGTCCCATCCGTACACGATGTTTTCAAAGCCCAGGCATTCAAACGCTCGCCAGCGTCGAGGCCAAAAGGCAGCAAAATGATTGAGATCAGTCGTCGTATGATGACGCTTGACGGGCAGCTCCTGCAACGTCCAAGGAATGAAATACCTCATCTTGGTCTGCTCTCGTCTTCTGCGAATGGCATACAGGTAAACTTGTACGCTGAATACGACTGCCGGGGCGAGCCGGTGATCACTCTCACTGGATTTGTGCATCACTGAGCAGCCACCCCCCGTTGTCCAGGTTGGTGTCGACTGTTTTTCAAAATGCTGGCTTTTCACCCTGGACTGGCCATCGTGACCCACGACAACCGCAAGCATGCGGCCAGTAAAGTCAGGCCCCGGAAAAGTTGCAACATGCGCGACAAGTCAGCGCGAAATTCACGTGAGGCTGAAAGCTGCCCATACGTGCGAATACGGTAGGAGCGTGCACATTAAACCCCTTAAGACACTCGTGAGGAGAAGAGAGGTGAATGTGAAGGATAGACAGGTCATTATCCCTTCACTCAAGATCTAGCCATGGATGGGCTGCCATTTGTACGTCTCGGGCAGCTCGTAGCTTGCACCGGCGCGAGTTTCTAAAATCCGATGTAAAGGCGCACACGTTCGCTTGTCTTTTGAGTATTTTTGTTGCCAAAGTCGTTCGCCTTGAAATGTCAGAAATGTTTTGTTTGTGATTTCTCTCTCATGATCTCTTTGGCTGTTAACATCCTAGTCCGGGAGCGACTGGTACCATGGTCCGGTGGAGCAGTGCTTATTATGTGTTGAGCGTTGCCCTCCTGGGCGTGTGTGCTCGAGCCAGCTTGGTTGGGGGAAGGGGTTCCGATGCGGATCCCATTGGGCTGGGACCGCTCGTCTGGGGTGGCAACATTCACTTCACGGCAGAGCAACCCGGCGAGATGGCACAGCTTGCTCAAGCCCTGAAGATTGTTCGGATGGACTTTAGTTGGGCACGGACGGAGACAGAACGGGGAGTCTACAACTTTTCGAGCTATGACCAGCTTCTCACAACCACACGCGCCCACGGCGTGCGGAACTACTGGATCTTGGACTTTGGCAACAGCCTGTACAGTCCGGGTGCGGCGGCTCCAGCGACGCCCGAGGCGGTGGCCGCTTTTGCTCGTTGGTCGGTGGCCGCCATGACACATTTTCGTGGACAAGGCATCATTTTCGAGCTGTACAACGAGCCCAACATCCCCACTCCTGCCTCTGCAGAGGCAGTCACGCGCTGGGGTACATGGTCACCTGTGGCGAACGCATCGGCATATATGGATCTCTACGATGCCCTCATCGCCGCCAAGCAAGCTGCTGGTATGTTTTTATGAAGCGCCATGACCTGGTGCCTACGGTGGCGCGTGTGGTTTTCAAGCTCTCCAATGCCGTGCGTCTCTGACCCACCGGGGGCATGCTCAAATGTTGCAGGGTTGGCAGACGTGCCCTTGGTAGCCCCGGCACTAGCGGGCGTGGAAGACGACTTTCTGACAACTTGCTTTGAGCGTGGTATGCTTGAGACGGTTGATGGACTCTCCTTACACCCTTACCGCGTGTCGGGCCCCGAAACCGTGATAGAGGTTCGTGCGCCTCGCCGTTCAAAGCCCTTTCCGGAAGAAGACAAAATTCATGTTGATCTCTCCGGGGCGGCCCATCTTCCCAGGACTCTGCGCGAATGCATCTCATGATCCGCAACTACACGACACGAGACGTGCCCGTGGTTTCAGGAGAATGGGGCTACTCTACTTGTACCAATGGCTCGTATGTCAAGCATACTGCTCCGATTGTCACGGCAGCGCACTGGTTGGTGGTCTGCCCGGAATGTTCTTGCTGAACACGCTGCACAACGTCCTTGTAGGGCTGCCATCTACTGTGACAGAGGTGCAACAACGGGCCCCAATACTCAAAGTGACCAAGCCAAGTTCTTGGCCCGGCAATGGCTCGTCAATGCCATGTTAAACATCCCAGTGTCCATCTTCTACGAGTGGCGCAACGGTGGCGATAATAAGACGTATGGCGAGGACAACTTTGGTATTGTTGAGGCTAACTACGTCAACATGAGCCACCCGTTTGTGCCCAAGGTGGCGTATGCTGCGGCCAGTACGTTGCAAAGTCAGATCAACTCGAGCACCTTCTCACAGCGCCTACCAGCTTACAATTCCAGCAAGCAAGAGGAGTCTGACGAGGATATCTTTGTCTTGGCTTTTGCCAATGCGACGCGCCTGGCCGTGTGGAAGATCGACGGCGACACGAGCTGTGATTTTGTTCCGCGTGTCTACACAGATTGTGGTAGGTCCGGGGTTGGCTCGTTGGGCAGCAAGACTGGTCAAAGCAGGTATTGCCCTTTCACTTTCTTGTCCGCACGCAGGTTTCTACGGCATCACCGAGGCCCAGTGTTTGGCCCGCAACTGCTGTTTTAGCCCAAAGCCGTGGTCCAGCGAGCCCGAGTGCAACTTTCCACCCGTCACCAACACTTCCGGCTCAATCACCTTGGTCGTTTCGCCCAATGCCACCTACACGCGCATTGCGATGCTGGGCACACCTCTCACAAGCATTACAGCCGATGCGCAAGGGCAGATCCGAGCAGTCATCAACGATGAGCCACAGTACTGGACACTCGTGTCGACCTCCTAGCGATGCGCCCGTGTAGCCGTTTTCAGTTTTTTCTCGCTTTGTCGTTGACGTGTACCGGCGCCACCACAGGGTCATGAGCTTCTTCTTTATCAAATCCATACTTGCTTTACACATGAGCATGGGCTTCACCACAAGACAAGACCTAGTCAGAAACACTGTCGAACAGCACCTCACCCTCCACTGATCGACCGTTTGAGCTCCCGATCTCCACTTCTGTCGACATGCGTTTTTTTTTTTTTTTTTTTTTTTTTTGTTGTTGTTGTTGTTGTGTGTGATGGTGACAAATGTTTTTGTTTTGGTCTGTTGACCACACACACACACACACACACACACACACACACACACACACACAAAAAGTATTATTGTGATCGCAACGATGGATCGCGGGTGGTGCAGGAGCTTGCGAGTCGCCGTGGGCCTGGCGCTCGTGCTGGGCTGTGGATCAGTGGCGTCAGCTTTGAGCCTGTTGGATGATCGCATTTGGGGTGGCAACACCCACTTTACCGACGAGCAGCCTGGTGAACTCGCGCAGCTGGCCCCCGTGTTCAAGATTGTGCGCACGGACTTTGTTTGGGCCAGGGTCGAGCATGAGAGGGGCGTCTATGACTTTGCAGCGTACGATCGCTTGCTCAACTCCACGAGCGCGCATGACATTCGAAACTACTGGATCCTCGACTACGGCAATCCACTCTACTGTAATGGAACTGACGCGCCCGCCACGCCCGAAGCCATCGCGGCCTTTGTAAACTACTCCATCGCCGCAATGCAGCGCTATGCCACACATGACATCATTTTTGAGCTCTACAACGAGCCCGATCTTCCCAAAACCTCGAGGTGCGTCTTTGCAATCTGCCCAAACCTGCATGCTCCTACCCATGCCTCTCCTTCCTTGTTTTTCCATGTCTCTTCTGACCCTTGAACCGCCGCGGCAATGCAGTGGTCTGACAAAAGCCACTGTCCTGCGTCCCGGCCATCAATTGGGAGCTTGGTATCCGGTGCCAAATGCCACTGCCTACATGGACTTGTATCAAGCCCTGGTTGAGGCCATGCAGAGCAAAGGTATGCATTCGAGGCGCCTGCCTGGCCAGCGGGTCGACTCGTTGGGACCAACATGTGCAGGTTGCTCTTGGATGTCTCTTCTAACGCCGTGCATGGGATCCTCAGGACTGCTCGGGAAAGTGCCTTTAGTGGCTCCAGCATCGTCGCAGGCTGCAAATGAATTCCTCGTCACTTGCTTTGAGCGGGGCATGCTTGAGACGGTGGACGGAGTCTCCGTCCATCCTTACCGCTCTGATATCCCCGAAACCGTCCTTAATGTGGGTGTTTGACAAGTCGACAACTGGCTGAGGGATGCGCGCACATGGCATGACACGGCCTGATCAATCTCTCTGCTTGCGCCATTGGAAACAGGACTATGCTACTTTGCGTGGACTGATCGCCAAGTACACAAACCGTACTGTCCCCATTGTTTCGGGGGAGTGGGGCTACAACACGTGCTTTGATGCCAAGTCAGTGGTCTATTAAAATCTGCTTCACAAGCAAGCAAGCCCTGCATCGGCTTCTTGCATCCACGTTTCGTGCCCTGTGCCCATGTCTCACGGCCGAAACCCGCCAACAGCGGACCGTGCCCTTGCTACGAGGCTCATAACGCACCACATACGACGACTCAGGAGCAAGCACAATTTTTGCCACGCATGTGGTCCGTGCTTGTGTCATATAGTGCAGTGATCCAACAAACGCTCTGCGCTGCCTTGGGGCAGCCTCGGCTTGTTTCTCGCTTTCCTCGCCTTGACCTGTTTGGCATTGGTGTCTCGCCAACCATAGGCTGTTGAACATCATGGCTGGAGTGCCCATTTCCATCTTTTACGAGTGGCGCAATGGCGGCGTCAACGGCACGGCTGGCGAAGAAAATTTTGGAGTTGTGCAATACGAATATCAAAACGCCAGCGTGCCATTCGAGCCAAAGCCCGCCTATGCTTCAGCTCGTACCATTCAGGCACAACTCAACCCCGCCACCGACATCTTTTCTGGCCGACTGACTGCCACGAACACGACCTCTGCCGACCCAGATGATGACATCTTTGTCCTGTCCTTCACCAACAACTCGAAGCTAGCCATGTGGAAGGTGGACGGCACCGCGTCTTGCAGCCTTACACCACGCTATTACCAAGATTGCGGTGTGTATTATGTTGACATGTTATGTCTCTGTACCGATCCTGTCCTCTATCAGATACAGCACGGGTCGCTGCAATGCACCAAGCTAACACCTGTCCAACTGGTCTGGGCATGCGTTTTGTTGTGCCGCCTCTACTCGTAAAACTTGCTTAGGGTATGATGGCATCACGGAAGATGAGTGCTTGCAACGAAGCTGCTGCTGGAACCCCACAAGCCATGGCATCCCAGAGTGTTCCATTCCACCCATCAGTAATTACACTGGACCAGTCTCCTTTACAGTCGGAGCTGCTGCCACCTTTTCAAGAGTTGACATGAACGGCCACCAACTGAACCCCATCACCTCTGATGCCGAGGGCCGCGTGACGGCAATGATCGACAACGAACCCCAGTACTGGACTCGCAACTAGCACAGTGGATTGCAATGCATATCGGTGCTAGCAGTGTTTTCTTCGTGGCCTTAAAAATGAGGTCTTCTTTGAGTTTGGGTCGTTCGATTAGAATTACATACCTAAAGGATGATGATTTAGAAGCTTGCTGTTTTTCTTCCTGCTTTTAAAACGAGGCGGTGTGTCTTGATATGCCTGGGCGGGCGATACATTCTTTGGTATTCACAAGACTCAATTCGTGATACCTTTCTTCGCGTAGTCGCTCTCTGAAGCACTTTCTTGGCACAAAAAAAAATACTCAAAAGCCCACACTTGGTTCGGTAGGGCTGAGGCAAACGTAATCATTCTGACAGCTTTCCCGGTCCCAAGCGGCAAAGGCCAGGCAGTTGCATGCGCGTGGCTCTTGGGCCGGCCACTACAGACTGGTAAAAGCAGAAGGATAGTGGTAGAGAAGACGCCATCCGGGCTTATTCACCAGTCAAGTCCATGCCACCCTCGTCCTCACTGGCGCTGACCTCGTCAAAGGATTCCTCGGCGTCCTCATCAGCATCGCTGTCGTTCTTCATGGTGTAACCTTTTTCTTCTAACTCATCCAGGGTGGCCGTCTGGCGCCGTTGAGCGGGTTGCGGTGCCGAGTCGCGTGACTCAGACCCTTCACTTTCCCGCTGAACAGTTCGCTTGGGTTTACGCCAGGTATGAAAGTCATCAGGTAACGCAGCTCGAGGCACGGGTTGCTTGCGAGCACGGTCATCCTCGGACTCGCTATACACGACTTTTGCCTCCGATTGATCTTCATCCTCTTCATCTTCTGATGTCAAGTCCCCCAGCTCATCATCCAGCTCCTGTGTGGATTCGGGTACAGACAAATATGAGAGAAAAACCGGAGCGGCTTTGGTTTCAAGCCAAGCGTATCCGGTGCCACAGCATCTTTCACGCTTACGTCGGCAAGTGCAGCCCACTTGCTGCGCTTCTTCTCAGGCTCGGGGCCTTCAGAGGCCGTCCGGTTGCTTGGAGGGGCCGTCTGGCTGGCGGTCTTATGGGCCGGTTTTGAGCGGCTAGGGACACAGCTCGGCAGACCCTCGAGGGGGTATTTGCTTTCCTTTGCTCGTGCACCCTACAGGCCGGCCACCAAGACACCCGCACGCTTCATCATCAGCACACAGATGCAACCACAGTGCACATCAGCCAATCAAGGTGCGTGGGCGGCCCACCTGATGGAAAGTGTCCTCCAACCAACGCAATGAAACCAAGAACACGCCAGGATAGTCCAAGGCCTGATTCAACTTTTCCGTGCCCGCCTTTCGCGCGATCACATGCGTCACACGGCGAGACATCTGATGCAACAAGGCGATAAGACAATCGTGAGGTCTGTGCAACGTGGAATAGACACGAGCAGGGATCCGGTCATTTCAAACATGCACCAGTATGGAGGCAAACTTCACCTCGTCGACCACTCGAGCACCCATAGCCACAGCTTGCCGCCAGGCTCGATGGGTCGCCACGTCTTGTCCCTTGGGGATGATGCCCGTAAAGAGCAGTATGCAGCCGGCCAAGGCCCTAATGGATGTTGAGACAGGGACGGTGAGGTTTGTGGCTCAGCGCACCAGGACCACCGCCTGTACACAGTCAAAAAACAGCAAAAGCCCCATACCATGGTGGGTAGGTCTCTGTTAGACTGGCAATGTTGGGCAGTAAGTCACGCGTGTTGGGCTTGATGCCGCGATCATACTGGTCAAAGAATGATGTATGAAGCGTTTTGAGGGCGGTTCCCACAACACGGAGCGTGGGATCGCGGTCTGGGGGCGCTGCCAGTCGGAGCCGTCGCTCTGGTGCGGAGCGCAGGGTATCGAGAATGACGCTCAATATGGCTGAAGTGTCCACGTCCTACGCGCGAGTTGGCCAAAGCCGGCAACCAGCGTAGAAAAACACCCGTCAGTTTACAACGCACGCCCCAACAAGCATATCACGACCCTCTGGTGGCCAAACAGGCGAGTAACCAAATACCAGACGATCAGAGAGAAAGTCCCATACGCCTGTGTCTGTCCCGCTTGTGTGTGCTACTTGAAACCATTTGTGTCATAGCGTGTCACCATGCGATACGTACAGGTGCCCACGCATCGCAAGGGCAGAAACGCTTCGCGACCATCACCAGGAGGGCAGCATCCAAGGGCTCAAAGCAGCGCAGGCGGCTGCGAATGGCTTCGTCGACGCCCTTTTCCTTCTCGTTGCGCACGAGTTGGCAGAGCCACGAACCAAAGTCGGCCTCAATCTCCACCTGGTTGACAGTGAGGTCGCGTAGGCAAGTGGCTTGTCCCAGGATGAAGCGGCGGGCTGCAGCAAAGCGCTCAGCCAGGACCGGTCCGGCATTGCCCACGTGGCGCTTACGGGCCTTGATGATGATCGTTTCTGTACCACAGCAGCAGTAATGGGCCGCATAGGGTGGAAGCGGCACCACTTCAAACGTGCATTCGAGATCACGAAAGGCCGTCGCTACGGCCTCGGCTGCTGCCAAGACCTCGTTTCGCACCACGTCTTCCGCCAACCGCGCACGACGCTGCAGGTCCCGTCCATGCTGCGTGGCATTGCTGTGGGTCTGGCTAGCACGTAGAGCCTCGCGCACCTGTTCCTCCTGATCTCGCGCCCACTGTTGTACTTCCTACGCAATAGAGAAGAACAAAACTGTCACGTGAGGCGCCACCCTCAACTGCTCGCAGTCTTATGTCAGTCCTGATGCTTCGCACCTTTCGCTGGTCCTCATTGAGGGTAAGCGTCTTGCAAAATGAATCGACAGCTGAGCTGATGGCTTCAAGGCCATCCCAATCAATGGCAGTACGCAGGTGGGTGACCAGGGCGAGTGCAACGGCGTTACTCCAAGACTCGGCGTCGGTGGTGGCTTGATGTGCCTGGTGCTCTGGGTTTTCTTCCGTCATCGTGGAGGCATGTTGGCGGAAGGCTCGATACAAAGGCTCGATGAGCCGGTCCGTAATGCGAATGGCATTGCTGGCATGCATTCTGCAAATCAGCAGGTGTCAGGAAGGGGAAGGGGGAGGGGGTTGGTGGTTTGTCTTGAGATTGCAACAGCCAAATCGCGAGAAACGTGGTGGAGGCGGTAGAGGAAGCGTAACTTTAGCTGGTGGCCGGCAAACCTACCGTTGTAAAGCCTCATGCTTGCGCGCCATACGACGATCAGACTGGCTCCTAAGCACACAGCTCGCGATAGCAGACAGTGAGAATCGAACTAAAATAAGTAAATTCATCGGCAAGGCGGATTCGGAATAGCTTGGGCCCAAAGGCGGACGAACCGTTGTTGGGGGATGGCGTTGACTTCTTCAACATGCTTGAAAAACTCATAGGGCAAAGCAGGCACCACATTGGTTTGGAAATCCCAGACTGCGGGCAGATCATCCAGGATTACGGCCATGCTGTCGCCACCGGGCAAGAGGGCATCCAAGTTCTACAGATGCAGGAGTAGGAACAGACCGAGGGTGAGACCGGTGTCAAGTTGTTGCCGAGAAGCGCTGGCCGGTGGTCAAAGGGCATTGTTTTTTTTTTTATGGTTTTTTTTTTTATGGTTTTTTTATGGTTTTTTTGGGCAGACCTTGGCTTTGTTTTCGATGCTGAAGCTCTCGTCTTGAGTCAAGATGCGCGTGGAGAAGAAGCGGTTGCTCGGGTCGATGATACTAAAAGTACCAGACAGGCCCATGGCGGCGCCGTTTCAAGGTGAGGGCTTTGCTCTGTAGGGCAGGAAAGACAGCAAGGGCATGGGGTCGGCGCATCGATACCCTCAACTCACCGGAGGATGCGCTCAGCATAATTTCGGCGCCCCATGGTATAAATGTGCATCTCATAGTAGGGATAAAGGTCTTCCAAAAAGGCTAGCGTGGGTCCCACAGGCCAAGGAAAATGTAGGGCGTAAGGCCAAAGGCATGAAGATGTGTGGGGTCGAATCAAGCGGATGTTGCTGGCCTGGACTGGCGGTGGCGAGGCAAATGGTGGCGACGAAATGACTGACCATGGAGACCTGGTCGGACTTTGGTGTAGTAAGTGTGTTTACCAAGGTCAAACTGAGTGTGCGTGCACGCAGGAGAAGGAGGCGACATGAGGCATGGGACCGGTCATGGGAAAGGAGGAGGAGAGCATGGGCCTCGACCTTACATGAAAGATGTCATACACTCCCTCGCGCAGCCAGTGGCTAGCGATTGAGTCGACTGCGGTTCAGCAAGCAAGCAGAAGTGATTGAAAGTGTAAATCAGTGGCTTTGCGATGGAGGGGAGGGAAGAGGCGAGGGGGTAGCGCACTGGTTGAGTGAATGAGCGTCTTGTCGAGATCGAGAATGAGAATGAGCTTGCGCGCTTCGAGCAGCTTGTTCGCGTTTTCCTGACCATATTGCTGGGCATTCTGTTGCGTCGACGGGCCATTCGACTCAGCCAAGGTGCGGGGCGAGAACCAAAGTCGAGGAAGCAATTTTTGAAAACAAAAGGGGGCAGGGGGCAGGGGGCACACAAACCTCGCGCCGAACGCTCAAGCCAACGTTGCTGATGCCACCTCCAACGATGGGCTGGTGGTTCTGGAGCTCGTCAACTGAGACCTCCTCGCCACAGCGGGTACAGAGCTGGCCGTAGAGCTCCGGGTGTTGGCAGGGCTCAGACATGGCGATGCTCTGCTCAAGCCTTGACGACTCCCCAATCCCACACTCTAAGCCACCAAATACTGCACCCCGAACCTGCCGCCACCGCACGTCCTCCCCCAGCTGGACGCTTCCAAAGTGGCCACTGGCCTTTGGCTCTCTGCTGCACTCGTAAGGCGGCAAGACGTTTTGTCGTGTAGTGACGACACTCAAACGGTCACAAAACTGAATTTTTTTGTGAGAGAGAGAGAGAGGAACTGAACTTTTTGTACACACAGTAGGGACGGAGAGCATGGGTGCTGGTGCTTGGGTGCTGTGTGGCGCTACTCTGGCCACGCATTGCTTCTCGCTCGTGCTGGCATGCCTTCTTCTTCTTTTGCTTCTTCTCCTTTTTTTTTTTTATGGGGTGGTGGTGGTCATAACATCATCACAATCAAAAGAAATAATAGGGTTTGATTCTCATTCTCCGGTCAGTACACCTCTCCTCTCATGGCTAAGATGGTCAGGAGCCGTGCGCGGGTCTCAATCCCGCTATTCAGTTTTGCGTCCTTCTGAGCTGGCACTTAGAATCCAGTCGGTGAGTTCATTGACAAAGGACATGTCGGGATCACTCTCGATCACAATGTCGTAGGTGTCCAGGTACTGGGCACGACGTTCCTCGGCGCTAAAAAGGGGTGATGGTCGTGGTGAGGTCAAGCATACCAGGCTCAGCCGTAAACAACATAAACCTTTAAAAAAACAAAAACAAAACAAAAACAAAGTGCAAACGGCTCGGGTAACGGTGAACGTTGTCACACCGGTCATTCAAGAAGCCAACGCGCAGGCAGTTGGTGGTGGCGAGGCCTTTGCACATAAACACATCGCCTAGGTTATCCCCTAGAAGCAAGACATTGCCGCGATCCTACAGTCCACAGGAGCAAGGGGAAGAATGACTTGGCATAATTCAGGGCATGCATGGTTGTTGGCAAGCGATACATTGGGCCTGAGGTCGGCCCTTACTCACCTTGATGCGGTCCCACTCGGGCGAGTCGCGGAGGGCCTTGCTGTTCTTGTTGAGAGAGTGAATGAGGGTGCCTTGGAAGTCGGTGAGAAAGCCGTCCTGGTCAAAAGACATCATGTTCGAGACAACGTGCATGCCCAGTTTCTCAAGGTTGTGGTGCGCCAGGAAAGCGTGAATGACGTCGTACAGGCCGGCGCTGAAGATGTGGAAGGGTGCATCATGGCTCTGACAAGCAGCAAACAGCTGTTCAGTGCCACCACGCAGCTGTAGCCGCGAGTTCTTGACCATTTCCTTGAGATGGTTGCGGTGCAACTTGTACTCCATCATCAGCTTGTGAGCCTGCATCGCGGGCGGTGCATCGCCAGAGGGGACGGAATCATTCAAGCACGACTCGTGTGAGCCACCACAGGATAGATGAAGAGAAATGGTGTGCGGGGGACAGGTGTGTGTGTGTTCGTGTGTGTGTGTGTGTGCGCGTGTGTGTGTGTGTGCGCGCGTGTGTGTGTGTGTGTGTGTGTGTGTGTGTGTGTGTGTGTGTATGTGTGCCGCGCAATCATCTGTACCGAGGTCCACCAAGCAATCATGTGAGGAATCTTCTCTTCTTCTGGAATGTCCGACACCTCGATTGGATAGTACTTGTTGAACAGCGCGCGCGTACGCTGGGCAAAATCTTCTCCCAGCTGCGGGCTTTGCTCCACTGCAGCAAGAGAGCAAAGAGTAAGTTGCATGACCAGCGGGCAGGGCTGAAAGGGAACAACCCAGGCTCAGTGCAGTCCTGACGATACGCACCACAGGCATGCGTTGAAGCGCTCCGCTCGCCATCGTCCAGCCGAAACCGAGTCAGAGTATAATCAAAGTCGGCAATGACCTGAAACTTGCTGGGTCCATCGCGCCGCATGTTGGCCAATAGCGCAGCCACGGCATCGGCATCGCGGCAATGCACAAAGGCCGGCGCCCCCTTGATCAACTGAGCAGCTTCCGCAACCAGCGATGCCATCGTGCAGAAAGAGACGAAGAAAAGGTAAAACCGCGAGTTTGGAAGATCATAAAATCTCTGAAATTGTCAGACAAAACATTCATTCGGACTGAACGGTTGAGTGTGTGTGTTCGCGTGGCTCGGGTGTGTGGCTCAATTGGTGTGAGTCTGAGGTGGCAGGGCCGAAGCGGTTATCTCCAGTTGTTGTTGTTGTTGTTGTTGTTCTTGTTGTTGTCAAGTCGGGCACGAGACTTGTCGACTTCGCGCATGTACATGTCGTATTCCCACTTTTTGAATTCCCTGAACGTATCAGCCAGGGACGGGCGGTGAGGAAATGAGGCGCCCCCACCAGCAGAGTGTTGAATGCACGAGCGACATACAGGTTGTTCATATCATTTTGAAGCTGGTCCAACTCCGCAACTGTGGCATTTTGGGAGCATGGGGCACATCAGCCTGAAGATGGGCAGCGCCAGGTTGGGTTGTAGGGGGCGAGGCAGACTTACGAGACTCGGCGAGAATGATGCGGCCAAAGAGACGCCAGCGTGGAACAAAGTTGTTGCCCGCATGGTCACAAGTGAGGCTCGCACACAGATCCAACGCCGAATCCAATTGCGCTTTGGGAAAGATGTGAATACCCGCCATGCGCTCCACCTCAGAGACGGGGACCTACGGCCGGCCCCGTGAGAGAGAGGTGCGCAGGCTTGCGGAATAGGAAATGCAAAATGCAACGAGCAGTCTACTTCCAATCCTGCGTATGCAAAGAGAGCCAGAGGAACGATCAAGGCCTACGGCACACGGGCTGACCTGGTAGTGTTGCAAGGGAAGCTCATCCTTGATGGGCCGATTCGGCATGATAAAGGCTAAGGCCAGTCGTCAAGCACACATGCCACATGAAGATCAGCAAACATCAGCGCCAATGGCACTGAAGAGCCCGGAGCCCACGGCATAAAAAGAATCAAGCTAAAATTTGGGGCCCAGAGCAAGTTTGGGGCTAGCTTACCAGCCACTGCACGGTCTTGGCCGTCTTCTTGCTCGGCCAAGACGGCCTTGAAGAGATGCGTTGGGACGTGCACTTGGTTCTGCCCAATGACCTGTCGGGTGCGGTCAACGTTGGGCCAAAGCGAGGATGTGGGGTCATCCATCTTAGCCACAATGGATTGGGTGGAGCCATGGGGCCAGAAGCACTCGGCTGATTACCTCGTGTGTGATCACCATCTTGCCCGTTTCGGGGTCACGCGAGGGCAGCCAAAGGGGACCGGAGACGACATAGACGTTGCGATACTGGCGGGTCAGGTCGCGTGTCCACTTTTCCAACCGCAGCCAGTCGCAACCGTTCATGGACATGTCTTGCGGCACAATGTTGGAGCTGAGAAGAAACGTCGATTGCATGGCATCCTGCGAGGTGGATGGGAGAGGCCAACATAAAAAAAAAGGGGGTAAAATCATGTGGCGCCCTTGCATTGGAAGAATCACGTGGCGCCCTTGGCATCATCCTTCAACGACATTTGCTCTGACCGTGGAGAAGTGTGAATCGCCGGCAGGCACCAAGTGCCCGCGTGAGTAGCCACTGCGCCGGTAATCATTCAGTTGTGCCCTATCAGCAGCAGCAGCAGCGCGCGCAGGAGAGTGAGAATGCGGGGCCAGCGAGCGCCAACTGCCACCAGCTAGGACGCGTGCTTGCATAGGCAGCAGCTACCGGAAAGGAAGGTGAACGTAGTCATCTTCGGTAAAGCGAGCAAACTTGCGATCGGCATCTCCCAGAGCCAGGCTCTCGGCCGTCAGGTGTTGCAGAACCCAATTGGGCACCCGAGTGCGGTGGTTGATCGAGGTGATGTAGTGCCCGTGCAATCGCACGTTTTCCAGACTGGGCAACCCATACTTGCCCGGCGCCAAGCCTGTCACAGCCAGCGGCCGCTCATGATCAACTTCCTGCCTCACTCCTCCTCCTGAGCCCGGCATCTGCCCCCCGGATCCGGCCCGTTGCCAATTGAGAAAGAGTCCGAGCGAAGCCCCCGCCACCACGCAGGCCAGGCTGTTCATCGCCATGACCACGGTCTGCTGCTCGTTCAACCAAATCTGACATCTGGTCCACAAATTCTTCTGACAACCTAATTGCTGACATCCCATGCCCTACCAGTCTCCGCTGGGTGTTTGTTAGTCTCCGTGGAGACTGCACGCACGCACGCACGCTGGGGGCGGGACAACCAGCGGCGATGGGGGGAAAGGTGGGCCTACGTGTGTATTGTGTCAACAGGGGAAGCCCCTTACCGGCCCTCTCTCTCTCCTCCAAGTTTGGGTCAAGTTGCGCTGGACGCCGGCACAGGCGGGGGCAAAAGGTGACGCACGTGCGGTTTTCTGCGGAAGCAAGCCGACGTCGCAATCTTCCATAACGTCGACACCTTGCCTCCCCTAATGAAGCACGGCAGGGTCACAGAAGCAAGTGCTTAACCTTGTGGCGAGATGCGAAATGTGGCCCGTGCGACAAAAGTTCTTGCTTACTTTGGCTTGCAAAGAGATGGGGCATGTATGCGCTCTCCACCAACGTCGAGTGCCATTTTTTTTCCTTTTCTTTGGTGAGTCCTGCATGACTGTGGTTGGGTGCGCTGTGCAGTGGCGGCGCTGCCGTTTTTGGATGGCCTGCTTTCTGCTTCTGCCTGGAGCTGCCGTCGTATTGCGATGCCATTTCGTTTCTTTTTTTGTTTGTCGTGTTTTGTGGGTGTTTTGTACGTTGACGCGACGAGTGGAAAGGGTACAAAAGCCCTTCCTTGCATGGATGTGGCTGCCCTTTTTGGTGACGGACCGTTGCTTTGTTTCGTTGAAATCGGCACCTCTTTTTCTTCTCACGATTGTGTGCACCCCATCCGTCCTTGGGTTCCCAGAGTTACATCAAACCCGGATCAACATCCATCATCACCATGTGGACGCGTTTGACTGCCATTCTCCTGGTGGCGGTGGTGGCGTTGGCCACTGCCCGCCCCTTTGAGAGCCGCGACGCAAACTTGCTTCACGACCTGGCTCCGACGGCCACCAACGGAAGCTGCCTCACTCCTCAGCAAGACAAGGAACTCAAGGAGGCCATCACCGGTATTCACATCACCTTGACCGCCACCGTGACTGCCCTTGACATTGCTGCTGCTGCCGAGTCAAACCCTGACACCAAGCAAAGCCTTGAGCTGGCCGCCAAGATCATCGATGCGGTCAACATTGATCTCGTGAACAATCTGACCGCCATTGTCGACAGCTCGTGCGGCACCTGCTCTCAGATTGCCCAGGTGGTCAACATGACCGTCATTTCCATCGAGGAGACCCTGAACCGCATCGAGCCCAACTGGCGCAACGACACCGTGTACAAGGTCATTGTGCAGGCCGTCAACGACATTCTTGCCATTGTCGAGACGGTCTGCCCCGATTCAGCTCTGCGCTTGCGCCTTGGCGATAACAATCAGTGCCTCAACGCCAGCCAAGTTCGCGTTTTGGAACAGGTGGTCACTGGCATCCAAATTGTCCTGACCGCCGCTGAAATGGGCCTTGAGGTCGCGGAGAGCGCGGAAACGGATCCTGCCACCAAGCAGAAGCTGGCCGAGGCCGTGCGTGACATGAAGATCATCAGCCACGACCTCATTGCCAATCTTACCACCATTGCTGAGAGCAACTGCTCCACCTGCTCTGCCATCGTCGCCACCGTGGACGAGGCCATTGTCATCATCGAGAACACCCTGACGGACATTGACCCCGACTGGCGCAACGACCAGCTTTTCCAGGCCATCTTCCAAGGCATCCAGCAGATCCTCGGCTACGTCACTGACCTCTGCCCATCATCGGTTGGCCGCCTGCTCGAGAAGCACCGCCTCTCCCTTGCTGCTGCTGCCCGCGCCGGTCAGCACTAAACGGGCGTGGCCGCCTCCCACCTGCCTGTACGGACATGGTCCTTGGTCCCCCGTGGCCCCACCTGCTACCGTTGTCCATTGTACTGGTCATGAGAGTTTAGGACATTAGGTATATCAGTCTCCTCTCCGCTTTTCCCTATTTTTTTTTTTTTTTCCGAAGGGCCGGTTTTGTGTTTTGCCTCTTCTTTTTCTTGTACTTCCTTCTTTCTGCTTGTCTGCCGCGATGCACAGCCGCAATTGAAGCAACCAAGTCTTTACATGCGCATGTTTTCAAAAAAGGAAAAAAAATAAACGCACACACGCTTCTTCCCTAAATCCACCGAACAGCCACCCCAAAGCTTCGGTCCCACTCTCGTGTGTGCAGCTTGCTTCCAGTCCTGTTTCCATCAACATAACATCCACTTTGACCCTTCTTGCCCCACCTGATCAGTCAAAGCCAAGGCCAAGGTGACATGCTCGGCGCTATGAACGGCTTCACATCCCGCGTTTGACGTTTGATGATGACAATGACATTTGTCATCCTTTTCCGTCTTTTGTCAGCATTTTCGTGCTCTACGTTTGACAGCTTTTTTCTTTGTTTTTCCATCATCATCATCAGCAGCGTTCGGATTTGTCGATGGCGGAGCAGGTTCTGACGCGGGCGGGTGGTGGCGTTGGAGGCACCGTTGTGCGCTGTTTTGCAGCTCGTGGCAAGGTGCAAAAGGTACGTGCATCGGTGTTCTCGTGCTAGGTATTGTTCCTTGCATGTGTTGGAGCGTTTGAATGCGTTCCTCACGCCTGTCCTGCTCCCTTTACACAGGTCATGTTCCGACAGACCCTGATTCGAGCAGCGCAAAAGAGAAACCTTGAAGCCGGCGCTACCAACGTGGCAGCAGACCGCAATCTCGTTCATTTTGTGCTCAAAGGCCAAGGCTCGGCCATTGACGAAATCGTTACCTTTATGCGCAGCGGCAAAGCCCTCAACAGCTGGGGCGCACGTGTGGATAAGCTCGACGAACTCCCAATCACAAGCAGCCCCACCAGTCTAGAAAAGTATCAAGTCACAACCGGCAACGTTGATAGCTTCAATTGGAAGAGCGGTGTGCGCATGTATTTGTGATTGCCCCCAGTTGCGATTCTAGCAAAAACCCCTGTGTGTCGCGTCCTTCTTCGTCTATCCGCTCCTTTTTTTTTTTTTTCGGGGGGGTTCTTTTTTGAACGCGTCGCTTGGCATCCCGGCAACCATGGCCTTGCGACCCGAGGACTTTGCGGCAGTGGCCGCACGAGATGACGCGCTCACGGCTACGCTGGTCAACGAACCCAACCCTGAACTGCGTCATCACCTGACTCACAAGCTCAGTTCCTCCAAGGCCAAGATTCGGGCCCACCGTTTCAAGGTGGAGCAAACCATCGTGGACAGCACCAGAGGTGCGAGTTTGGCTCCTGTTGTGGTGTGGCTTGAAGCATCCGAGCTCATGTGCGAAACAGGCCAACTCACCACCTCAAACCAACCATGCCCGCTGCTGGTGCCGACACGGTAGCCAAACAAGCCAAGTTTCGTGAAGCGGCCGGTAAAGCCGACCTTAACACACGTAGGTGCCATCCAAAGTGTTATGTATTAGCCATGAGAAGTTGGTGGGCCTAGACCAAGTGGAAAGGCTACCATGCCCTCATTGTCTCGTCTTGTCGGATGCCAGTGATGGACCTGATTGCTGAGGACATTAATGTTAATGCAGCGGACGAAAAACATCGCACCGCACTGCATTTTGCTGCGTGCCAAGGCAATGCGGTTGTGGTCAAATACCTTTGCAGTCACGGTTCGTATCCATGTTCTGCTGCTGCGGTGCCAGGTGCCCCGTTTCGTCGCTGTTGTTTGATCAAGGGTTGTTCAACTGTCGAGGCACAGGCGCGAATCAAAGCTTGCGGGACATGAATGGAAATACTCCGCTACATTTGGCTGCGTGCACCAACCACACTAGCGTGGTGACAGCGCTTTTGCGGGCTGGCGCCGATGTGCGCGCCACAGACAGTAGGTGCCTTTCCTTTGCCTACTCTCTGGTCGGCCTTGCTTTGCGCTTTGGAATCCTGACAAGCTTGTTTAAACTTTTGGTTGTAGGAATGGGCAAGACACCATTGGATTATGCAGCCTCACACCTGAAAATTTACCGGCGTCGCGCAAGCGGCGGTCTCACGCCGCAGCGCCGCACGAAGATCTTTGAGGTTCGCATGTTCGAAAAGCTGGCTATTTTTGCTTTTTCTTTCGTTACCGTTTCTGCTTTGGGTTTCATTTGGTTCAGGCATTGTTAGCGTTGCGTGACAGTTATTCACCACCACGTGGCAACCTTCCGTCTTTTCACGATGGGTAGATTGTTGAGCTGCTGACCGAGTGTTTGCGACAATTGGATGACGACGAGCCTCTGAGCCACATGACTGCGATCAGCTCGCAACTCAAGACCATGGAATCGGATGAGGACCTGCATTCGGTCGAAGATGTGTTGACCAACCTGATGCAGTTGACGCTCGGTCGTCATCGCCCGGCATGAACATTGGGCTGGTGCTTTGTGTTGTGTGAAACAAGAGACATGCCAGCATGTGCGCTGTTAGGAGTATCGTCCCGTCCTATCTTGTCTTGTTTGTAGGCGTCGCCAAGAATTGAAAATAAAAAGTGCGGAATGAACAGTCAGATATGCATGATTGGCAGAGGCAACAAAAGCTTGAACATGTTGTGTTATTTATGTCTGGATTGGGAATAGAAACTCGCAGAAATGGGGCGCACCACATGTGACACCCATGAATATCAACTTGACATGCGTATGATTATTATGCCGTGCCCGCCGGGGGCAGGTTGCGGTCAAGGAGTTGGGCAAACTCTTCCATGGCCTGAGTATGCGCGAGGTGGTCGCGGCAAGCTTGCGTCTGGCAGGTTGAACTGGAGGTTGCTGCACTTTCATCGGATGCCTCACCCACCCAAAGACCTCCTGGATACCAGAGCAAGCCGTCCTCGTCACGCTCGAATTCAAACTCGGCGGGGCGGCGCAAAACGTGATCTCGTTGAGGACGAGAAGATTTTGGGGTGTGGAAGGTAGGCCGCTGTTGTTCGTGACGATGTTCATGTTCATGTTCATGCTCGTGCTGATGTTGATGGTGGTGTTGGTGTTGGTGTTGATGATGGTGGCGGTGGTGGTGAAAGTGATGTTGTTGTTGTTGTTGTTGTTGCTGTTGCTGTTGCTGGCGTTTCGGGGCCTGTTCTTGGGGCATGGCTTCCTTGGGCGTCGATACGTGTTGTTCCTCGAGGGATGGGGCAGCTGGGAGCTGGTCCAAAGGCTTATCAGACGGGTGTGAGTGAGCATCGTGGGTGGGTACCTGAGATGTCGTGCTGTCCATGCCAAGAGAGGCAGCAAGGCGCTCCACAGCAGCAGTGATATCGCGCAGTTGATGACGCGAGTTCTCTACACGACGCTGTTGCTGTTGCAGCTCGCGGGCTCCTTGCTGCAGATGCTGGCGGTAGGTTTGCAAGCGGCGATAATAGAGGTGCGTGCCAGGCACGGTGGCCTCTAAAACCGCACGTTCGCGCGACAGATAATCGTCAATCTCCTTCTTGAAGCGAGCCAAGCGGTGCTCCTCGACCTCTAGTTCGTGGGCAGTAGTGGCTTGGCGCTGGCGTAGCTGGTTCAGTTGCTGTTGGCGTTGCTGGCGTTGGCGCTCCTGTACCTCAGCGTCCTCCAATGGGTGCAAGTGACGATGGCGAGGATGCCTGCGAGCCCATGGGGCGCCCAAGCCCTGCTGGTGGCTGCCCCACCGGGCAGCAGAGCCATCCATGCCCATCCATGGATCGAAGATGCCCGGGGCGCCGAAGAATGAGGGGGCACGAAAGGCGTGAGAGGTAGCCACCAAAGCCAGCAGAACGGCCAGCAGTGGCAGCCAGGAGCAAGGGCGTGTCATATTGACGGTGTGTTTGCGTGACAGGTGAGGGTCGTGATCAAGTCAGCGCGCAGAGAAAAATGCCAGAGCAACTGCCGGGTAGTCTGCTTCGTGCCATTCACTCGCAAAGCCATGGTCATCATACTTGACGTGGAGAAACGGAGAGAACGGAGAGAACAGAAAGAAAATCCTGGTGAGCGGTGGCGGATTCGAGTGTCTCGCAGCCTCTCGCAGCACCACGATGCTGCGAGTAAGTGGGCTTTTGAGAGCATCCCATTGGCCATAGGAGCAACATGATTGCGACATCCAACTTCTCGTGGCTTCTGGCTGTGTGTGGCACCACGTCACTTGAATTATCAGCATGTCAGCAATTCGAAGATGCGATTTTGTCAGAAAAATAGCGAAAAAACAAAAAACAAAAAAAGAGCAACACACACACACGTCTTGTCAAGCTGTTAGGAGGGAGGCGGTGTGGTCAGGCGCTGGATGACGGCTTGGTGCTGCTGGCCAACCAGGGCCGTGGCCAGGGTTGTGGGAAGGGCAGTGAGAAGCTTGAGGGTAAGCCAGTGAAGGACGGAGGTCGTAGTTGGATAAGCCTCGGTGCCGACCCAGCAGAGAATGCCGCGGGCCGCGGCTTCGGCGGTGAGTACGTCGGGGGCCGCGAGGCGTGAGGCGCTGAACCAACGCATGGTGTTGCCAGCGCGGATCATGCCTGGCGCATTGACCAGCACCTCAGCAACGGTGGAAAGCTCATACCGGAGCGAAGCACCCAGATGCAAGAGGAATGCTTTTGTTGCTCCATACACCGCACAAAAGGGGGCACCCGTCACGCCGGCCAGCGAGGCGACCAGGATTAGCACCCGTCGGGGTACAGCCTTTGTCCTCGGACCAGCGGTTCTAGCCCATGCAACAGACAATCGACGGGCCAGTTGCAGACTTAGCCGCGCGTTGATGGCAAGGATGGCATCGGCCTCGACCTCGGTGTGCTCGCTCAGCGGTTTGGGCACGCTGGTAGACAAGCCTACGTTCAGGATGGCCACTTGCACTATTTTATCATCCAGAAAAAGCGGCATCACGTCATGATCGGAGGAAGGCCGCGCAATGTGGTGTCCACGACCACGGCGAGCGGTAGTGAGGCTGGGAAATTGAGAGGTCGCATGCTCAAAGTGTGGACAAGCAGCAAGTCCGAGAGAAAGCCCCCTGGCAAGTCAAGCAAGCCGGCACATATACGCACCGTTTTGAAGTGCGAGATCTTCCAAATGGACAAAGAGTTGGTCCTGCACAGCACGTTGGCTCAGATCGCCGGCAAAGGTCTGTCAACCAACACGAAGAACAGCATCAGCATCATCCGCAACAGCCGCTGAAGAAAGCAACAAAAACCGGGCACCATCGAATGGCCTCCATCAAAGCGCGCACTGGTGGCCAAAAGCTGGCTTCGCCTCCGCCCTGTCGCAGGCTTACCTTGATGACCACATCAGGAGCCAGTTGCTTGAGTTGCTGCGCAGCAGCCGCACAGTCGGCAGAGGTTCGGCCCGTGAGATAGAGATCCAGGCCCTGACTCGCGCAGTGCCGTGCCAGGTGAAAGCCAATGCCGTCGGTGCCACCCGTGATTAGCGCAAAGCGCTGGCCGGCGGGTCGTGCCGCTCTGTCAAGCAAACGAAACGGATGTGCACAAACTCAGCGTGCGCGACAACAACTTAGGCATTGGGCAAGGACAGGGTTCGTACAGGGCACGAAGATGACGCTGCCAGCGGCGTTGATCCAGAAGCGCCCGTAGCGGCCTCACAATCGTCACTGCCAGAATCAAGACCAGGCCTAGCAAAGCCAGTCCCAGCGCAATGCTCATCCCCGCTTCCATGTTCACGAGCACCTCATCCCCGCCGCCCCCCTGTGAGCGAGAGAGGGAGAGAGAGAGAGAGAGAGAGAGAGAGAGAGAGAGAGAGAGAGGGAGAGAGAGAGAGAGAGAGAGAGAGAGAGAGAGAGAGAGAGAGACAGAGAGAGAGAGGATCGTAAACTAAACTAATCCTCTGCAAAGTAAAGTTTGACATAGGTATCCCCCATTTTTTGGTCGAAATTTGAATCTTGGGAGAATTTGCAGTCATCTGTCAAGAAGATGCAGCATATAAACGTATCATAGTTGTAAAGTATGATGGTTATTGCAGCTTGAACTACACTTTGTGCTGGAGATACTTTTCATCGCTAACCATCATATCAAAACGGCGGCCACACGCACACACGGTGGCGGATACGGTGGCGGCGCGGCAGCCTCCCCCGCTCCTCCCTCTCCCTTTCCCTTTTCTATCGTCCTTCTGATCTGGCTGCCTTGGTGAGTTGTGGGGAGGAGACGTGTGCTGGCTGCTGGTTGCTGCTGGCTGGGTGTGTGCTCTGTTCTTGCCGATCGCACCACGCCCCACACCCCTTGTTCAAGGTCTCGTCCTTGACAAACCCGCGCAGGGGTGCCACCCTTACTTCCTGCCTCAAGTCATTGTGGGAGGTTCGCGAGGTGTGGTTAGTCAGCACCATGGCACACACGGCAGACGCAACAGCTGCGCCCACATCCGCGCCCGCAACTGCCGCTACGGCTCCCGCTCAGGACCCAGCCCAAGCGATGTCAAGTATCGCTCAAGACGAACACGATTCCCAGCCCGGGAGAGCCGACGTCCGCCGCAATTCCGAGGCTCAAGCCCAGCTCACTCCCTCTTCAGCCAATCGACGCGTGAGCTTGCTTGATCGGGCAACGCATGCTCCCCACATCGCCCTGGACATCCGCCTCCATCCGCCTCACTCTAGCTCTCTCTGTCTTAGTCTTCACTTTTTGGCAGCCTGTTTTCAAAAGTCAAGGAGGCCTTTTTTGGCTCACTGCCACAGGTGAGTGCTCTTCCTGCCAAGCTCTCAGAGCTGTCCCTTTATGCTCGATCACCTCGGTCTTGCTCATTGCACAAGCGCCCGCACACTGCAGGAGCTGCAGGACCAGGCTCGACGCCCTGGCAAGAGGCCCCATACACCCCAAACCTCAGCTCCTACTTCCAATGGCAACTTCTCAGCCCGCCGTATTATTCTTTCTCCAAGACGCCGCGCGCGGTTGCGGGCATATTCCACAGGACCCGGTGCCGTTGTCAATACCTACAACGGCTCATCAATTGTCTCAGGCCCGAGGCCGGCCCCCATGGGACAAGTGTGCTCAATAGCGCCACAGGACCAATCGGCAAATCCCGATTGTGGCACGGCCTTTGACATGGCGCCCCAGACGCCGCCCCGCGCCACCACCGCAGACTCTGATGGTCCCATTACCTCTGTCGAGCGTGAGTCATTCTACACACGGACAAGGTCCTGGGCATCACGTTTAACGGTGCCACGTCCCCACCCACGCCCCACGTCAAACGCAAAGCCCTTTTGCCTGGATCTCACATGTGCTTTGCTGTGCGCATTGCTCCAGGTCCTGCGGCCAAGCGGAGCCGCCTTGCCAGTAATGACGACGACGAGGCTTTTCAGCCCGCTGCTGCAACACTGCCAGCCTCTCCGCCTGACACTACCCCCAGCCGCCGAAGGTAAATCCCAGCCCATGTGCGGCTGAGCCTTGCTCCTCATTTATGGTGTTCTCATTTGATGTGCTTCCAAGGCACCAACCTCACCCATCTTCTGCGCGCACCATTTCAAAGGCGATCCTCATTCTTTGACTCGCTCAAGCCATTTTTTAACCTCTTCTCATCCACACGTGCCCCCACATTACAAGGTGGGCGCTTGATGTACCGCAGTGTGCTACGCGATTTAAAAGTGGATGACCTGAGCCGGACCTCTTTGCTTCAAGCACCGAAAATCATTGAAGTGCAACACTGATTGATCCTTCCCCTCCCCCACCCGACCCACCTCAGCGGCAGATTCAGAGATGCACGCTGATGAATGGCTGCGCAACCACATTCAAGAGACATTTCGCGCCAAGGTTCGTTGGCTTTTGGGACCCATTGACGCCGTGCAAACAACTGCACGAGTGACCACAGGCTCACTCAGCGCTCCCACGCTACCATTTTGTGTATAGCCCACTTTGGCACAAAGTCTGATTGAAGCGCTCAACTGGAAAAGGTACAACAGGGATCCCGTTGAAGCCTGCCGTCCAGACTTGCTTGAGCTTTACACCTGGTGTCTAACGACCGTACCTTCACTCACATTGACGTCTTGTCATGTGAGCTCTTTAGATTAAGGTTCATGTTGGACTTACCCGACTACCCGTCAACTCCACCACCCTGCTTGCCGCCGGCTCGTGATCAGCGACCCACGCTCGTACTGGATCTTGACGAAACCCTGGTGCACAGCCAGCTGCGGCCCTCACCTCTAAGTACCCACCAGGTTAGGCATGCTTTGATCTCTGGACCCAAGGGCTTGTTTGGTCCATTGGCTGCTGTCCGACTGACTGCATACCGGGTAATTTCTCACTTGTGCCAATGTGGTAGCAAATCATCAATTACGAAAATCGCACACTGGTTGTGCACGTCCATGTGCGACCCTTTGCTCGCAAGTTTCTTCAACACGTCGCTGAGGTCAGAGCCAGGCTGGTGTCTTTGGTGTTGCCCTTCCCTCAATTGGCATGCCTTGAAACAATCACTACCCTCCCGCTTGATCGCACACCTTCTCACCTTCCAACTCAACGCCGTCTTCGTTCTCAGTTGTTCGAAGTGATTGTCTTTACGGCCTCGCAAGAAATCTATGCTGGCGACCTTTTAGATTGGCTCGATCCAGAAGGCCACATCCAGCATCGGCTTTATCGTCAACACTGCCAGTGTTTGGATAATACTTATGTCAAGGACTTGCGCTGTCTCGGCCGGCCGTTGGAACGAACGATCATTGTCGACAACAACCCGCTGGCTTTTGCGCTCCAGGTAGGCAGGCTGGGTCGATTCGTTGCATTTGCTTTGCTGGCACTAACGTGTGCGTTGGGCCTGATCCAACCATCTTGCAACGCTGTGCATTCACTGACCGACCATCTGCGCGCCACCTGTCATATCGTCATGCGCTAGGTGGAGAATGGCCTGCCCGTTTCGTCGTGGTATGACGACCCCGAGGACAGTGAACTGCTCGGCGTTTTGCGGGTGCTGAGAAGGTTGGCTGAGAAGGTACGAGCAGGGGGGTGCCGTGTCTGCACCTGTCGCCGACTGATCTTTATTTCATTTGAAGCATTCATCTTTTCATCACATCGAATTGGGTTTGTTTACTTTAGGAGGATGTTCGTAGCGCTCTCAGCGAAGAGTATGGGATGCATCGCTTATTGGGTGGAGCTCGAGCACGTCTGGCTTCTGTAGACATTCCAATCGTACCCGACACGCCTTGAATGCCAGGGGCGCCTCAACAATGCAATGTCTGCGGCCTCGACCCTCCAGCGGGAAGGCTGCAAGAGGGCCTTCATGCCTCATGTCAAGTTGCTACAAGAGCAAAAGGGTTTGACCAATTTGAATTTTGAGTTGACATCAACCTTGACCCACTTAATCAGATCTCTGATTAGCGCGTGAAGAACGGCATTCAATTAGGACTGGTTTCCCACGGGGAAATGGATGGTGACGAGCGGTCACACCCACGCGTGCGCGATAGTCCGCAAACGGATCATGATTCATACAAGCAACAAGAACAAGTAAAACTAGAACAAAAAAAGAGTTAGAGCGGCAATACACACCACGGGGCATGCCTTTCCTTCTCCAGCACACACAAGCTATTGTGGCAATGCTTAGGCCTCCTGTTCCAGGGCAACGCGGATGCCTTGCTCCAGCTCAGCATCAACCTTGCCGAAAACTTCGAGTTGACGCTCGATAATCTCTTGCTTGATGCCCTTCATAGTGCCAGCCACGTTCTTGTACACACGCTCCTTGTGGTCCTTCTCAAACATCTGAAAGAGGGCACGGGGCTGGAAGTAGACGTCATCCGGTTGACCCTGACGCTTGCGCTGAACGACGGCTTGGTCGAGTGGGAGCGGAGGTTCCCAGGAACCCTCTTTGAAGGTTGGGTACTTGTCCATGCTGTTGGGCTGGTAGTTTGGGTGGCCCCCGCTGTTTGCACTCGGGTTCATGAGCCCATCGCGGTACTTCTTGTGAGACACCGGGCAGACGGGGGCGTTGACAGGTAGCTGGTAATGATTGACGCCCAGGCGGTAATTGGCGGCATCGGTGTAGGCAATCAGGCGGATCTGCAGCATGGGGTCAGGGGAGGCGCCAATGCCGGGCACCAAGTTGCCCGGCGAAAGAGCCAATTGCTCGACCTCGGCAAAGTAGTTTTGGGGGTTGCGGTTCAGAGTCATCTCGCCAACTTCAATCAGGGGAAATTCCTTGTGACTCCAGACCTTGGTGAGATCAAAAATGTCAAAGTCCATCTTCTTGGCCTGCTCATCGGTCATGATCTGAAGGCACACCTTCCAAGATGGGTACTCGCCACGCTCAATGGCATGGAACAGGTCATCCTTGTGGCTGTCCGGGTTGGCGCCACGCACCTTTTGTGCCTCCTCCTCGGCAAGAGTCTAGGAGAGGGGCGATCATCGATATGAGCTGCGAGCCGATCGAGTCCACCTCAGCTTGGTCGCGGTTTGAGCTGATGGGTAAAACGCACCTCATAGCCTTGGTTGGTGCGCATGTGCCATTTACACCAGACCCGCTCGTCCTTATCGTTGATGAGGCTGAACGTGTGGCTTCCGTAGCCATGCTCATCTGCAGGAATGAGATTTGACCAACAGGAGTGGGGTGAGCGGGGTGTGGGCCAATTGGAGAAGGTCACCGAGGGCTCCTTTCAATGGCAGCAGTGCACTTACGGCGGTAGGTACGAGGCACGCCGCGGTCAGACATGAGAATCAGCACCTGATGCACTGACTCGGGTGACAAAGACCAAAAGTCCCAGCGCGCCTAAAAACAAGACCATCGGAAAAGTTAAAAAAAAAAAAAAAAAAAAAAAAAAAAAAATGAATGTATCAGTCAAATGTCAAGAGCAAACATGGATGTAAACAAACACTGCAACCCCCCTAGAGGGATCAGAGTCAGTGGCTCAATGGAATGACTTCTTATCCATCTGCCAATAGGGCCCGTGTTGACTCGAGTAACCGTACCTCCCAGTCACGCAGATCTGTCTGTGGGTTGCGCTTTTGCGAGTGAATAAAGTCTATGTGCAATGCAATCAAAGGGCATATGGGTGGTCAGAGGCAACCGTGGTGTTGGCAGCGGGCCACCGTTGTTGACGCGCTTACCTTGGAATTTGTTGGGGTCACGCACAAAGAAGATGGGTGTGTTGTTGCCGACCAGATCAAAGTTGCCTTCGTCGGTATAAAAGCGAACGCCAAAGCCGCGGACGTCACGGTCGGCATCGGCAAAGCCGCGCTCTCCAGCCACCGTGGAGAAGCGAGCGGCAATCTTGGTCTCCTTGCCGACGGAGCTCAGAAAGCTCGCCTTGGTGTACTGTGACACGTCCTTTGTCACACGAAAGGTACCAAAGGCACCGGCCCCGTTGGCATGGACCACGCGTTCCGGGATGCGCTGCAACCGGCCAGGACGCGGAGGATCAGGGCGACGCTGTCCAAGGAAATGTGTGAGCGCACGACGCGCGCACGTACCTCACGGTTGAAGATGGCATTGTGCTCGTAAAGACGGGGATCCACGACCAAGGGGCCGGTGGAGCCCGCACGAAGCGCAGCGTTTTGGTCATCCAACGGATGACCGGCCGCGTCAGTCGTGTAGGGGCACTTGGACATGATGTAGATGAGGGCCTGGGCAAGGAAGACGGCTGTCAAAGCACAGAGAAAAGGCTGGCAGGGTCAACTGGGCAAAGATCAAGGTTTTCGATGGGGATGTAGGAAAGAAAATGGCACCGACGCAGTCCCCGGCAGGGCTTGAGTAGGTGTTCAGGGTTGCGTCCCCGCCTCGGGACCGGCGAGTTGTTGGGGACGATGCAATCTCGGTCATTGCGATCAAGAACCGGTTGCCCATGCAAGTTGGCGTCTTGTGTCTTGTGTCTTGCCTCCTTCTAGCCCAGGCGTTGGCGGAAGGGCTACTGAAGAGAAGACGTACAGAGATGTTGTAAGCTGGAGCTCTCGTAGTTCGGCTCCACTCTTCCATTCTTCGCGCAAGCAATGTTGTTGTTTTGCAGACAACTGGAGCCCTTTCTGCTTCTAGAGCTGCCCACAATGACGTGATTCGGGGCGATGTTACGGCTCATAATAAAGAAAGAATAATAATGACGTCTCTCTGCATGAGAGCCTGCCATCACAGCCACAGCTTGCTTGCCGACCACCAACCACTCCAGCCGCCTGATCTGCCGCTCTGCCATTCTCAACTCTATCTTTTTCGAAGAAATTAGAATAAGTGCATGCAAGCAAAATCAACTTTTGCACAACAACAACAAGAAAAAAATTGCAGAAAATTGTCAGAAATTATTGGGGCTGTTATGGGCAGCTATGGGCACCAACCGCTGTGGCGGCGGTGAGCAAACGCGTGACAGCCTGCAGCTGCTCCATCTGGGCTTGTAGCTCCTCGTTCAAATTTACGGGCCGCACCGTCACCAGACTCAAGGCTTGGACGGCCTCTTCTCCCAAGGTGGCCAACAGGTGAGCTACGCAGCAATCATAGAGGCCCTGGGCTTCGGCCTCGGATGCCAACTCGGCCCGTGTCACGGTTTGCAGTGCGGCAAGCGCCCGCGACTCACCCCCATGGATAAACATGTTTGACCATGTGCTTGTCGGGGTGGTCGCCACGCGGGCTGCAATTGCTGTCGAATCTAGTGCTGGCGCGCCTGCTGCGACCATCAGCAGGCCTGCGGCTATCACAATCCCATGATCCGAACCCAACCGTCTAAACGCGGCCATTAAAGACTCTTGTGCGGTTGATTCGGCTTGCATCCGTGCTACAAAGTCTTGTGCACGCTTGTTCAGCGTGGCTACCTCGCTACGAGCCAAGGACCAGAGCTGCGAGTGCTGCGCCTGCTGTGCAGCAAGGACGGCCAAAACAAACGCTCGAAAGGCCCCGCCCGCCTCAAACACCTGAACTGCTCGTTTACCCGCTTCCTTTGCCACCAGCGCCTCCAAGCGTGATACCGTGGTTGGGGGCAAAGGTGCTTGCCATGCAAAGTCGAGCATCCGGTCCTTGAAGCCGGGATCACGATAGAAGTTGGCCGATGCCGCCTTGTGGTAAGCCAATGGGCCCTCTTGAGCTTGGGGGACCGCCACGGCGAAAATCAAACACAGGGCCTCGTCATGGATCAAGATGGCTTCGGGTGGGTTGGGCATGGACAGAAGCGATTTGAAAGCGTTCATGTTCAGGGCCTGAATGCAGCCCTGCGCGTGCCTCCAGAGCTGCTGCGGTGCTTCGGCATGAAGGCCTTCCACCGCCAAAGCTTCAATGGCATTGATACGTGCCTGGGCAGCCTGTTGCGCCGTTAAGCCATCGCCGTTGCGCTTGGTGGCGTCGGCGCCATGGGCCAGCAACAGCTGCACCATCCGAGCTTGACCCTCAAGGGCAGCCACGTGTAGCGCGGTATTCCGGGCAGGCATTTGCCTGTTAACCTCAACATTGTACGAGAAGAGAAGTTCAGCCAAGGGCTCAAGTCCAGCCCCCGCAGCCACCGCCAGCGGGGTCAGAATGGTGGCTAGCATGTTGGGGTTGGCTCCTGCCTCCAACAAAGGGCGCGCATGGTCGAGCGTGTGTGTACCCTTCTCAATGCCCCGTGCAACGCCAGCCAGAAAGACGCCCAACAGGCCGGATCGAATTTGTGCATTTAACTTTGTAAAGCCAATCTCCTCGCGAATGGCCCGGTGAATCTGTTCGCGATCAGACGGATCAAAGGCCTCGGACTTTTCTGCGTCCACAGCTTCCACCATCTGCATAAACTGCCCCAGATTGTGATGCAGAGCTGCGCGAAAGCGGCGATAGCTATCCGGATGAAAGGCAATGGAGAGCTCGGTACCCGTCGTCAGTGTGCAGAAGAGCTCCCACAGGACCTGCCAGCCAATAGCCAGATTGAGTCAAGTATGCTGCTTGTTCGCGTCGCCCCATGTTGGCCAGAGTCGCACCAGAAGCGACCATGGCAACATCCGCGACCGCCAACAAGCGTTGGCCCGTGCGCCAGGGAAGGACCTGATGGCTTAGATCAGGCTGGACCTTGGGTGTTCGAGTTGGGCGACGTGTGTTAGGCACAACCTACCCAGGCGCGGCTGATATTTTTGGGCGCATCATAAGGCATCATGACGGCCACGGTGTGTCCCAATTCTTGGATACTGTTCTTGAAAGTCGTGCTCCACCATTGATGGGGTCGAGAGAGGTCATTATTTTGGTCCACCAGCATGAGATCCACCCAGAAGTAGGGACGTTGCTTTGAATGTCCACCTAGTAGAAAGAGGTAGGGTTCAAGTCGAGTCAGTTGGACAGGCCTGATGCGACCTGATACCCAGCAAGTCGCAGGGTCATTGGGTTTGACAGTGGTCATCAGGTTGCAGACGTACCCGCAAAGCCAGCAAGCGCATCGACGAGGTCATTGTACGAGTAGGCCCATGCGTGACTCACAAAGTGTGTGGCACGCCCCACCAAGAGCTCATCCTGTGAGGGCGCGTGTCAGCGTTGTATGCACACGAGGCGTAACATTAAGGCAGGGTCGCACCTGAGCAAACTCAGGAAGAGCAGCGTAGGCGCAGCCAGCCTTTTTGCTCTCAGGCATGATGATGGCCCGGCACACGTCGGCAGTGGTCATGGTGGGCTTGAAACGAGGGTGCTCAAGAATTCGCTGTAACATGATGATGCTGACACCTCGTTGCTCTGTGGATGACGTGCTGGCCTCCTGAGTAACCTCATAAGGCAGCACCATCTGGTGCTGCGTACTTGGAGCGCATCCCATAACGTCTCTCTCTCAGAAATGTGTGGCCATGCATCATAAATCATGAGCCACGGGCCTGGTCTCGGTCGAGCGGGGCGAGGGAGGAGGGGGTGACTTGGTAACTGATGCGTGAGATGGATCGATTTTTTTGACAACTCACATGTCAGATTTTTTTGCACACTGGGACACTCTTGTCCCGCACACACACATCCGGATATACACACACACATACACTCATACACACACACAAGCCTGATTCGCCATGGGTTCTCGGGATGTAGGGAACGACGCACTAGTGCAAGCTGAGTATGTGCTCATAGGCGGCGTGCAAGGTTGTGAGGAGAATTTGCGTTTCACCGTCAAAGTACTCGTAGTCCAGAAAGTCCATCATGAAGCGTAGCTCGGCACCCAGGTGAGGGACCTTGGCGCGAATGCACACCGTGACCAGCAACGGCAGCAGAACATCCATGCTGTTGATCTGCGTTCCCGCATCAATACCACACCCCCAACAGCATCACATTTATATTGAGCCTCATAGCATGGACGATCAAGTCCGATTTTCGAGGCCGCGCTTGGCTTCGACACTTTCTTATCGCACATACCTGAGGCAGGTGGTCGCGAGCGAGAGCCTGATTCAGTGCAGCCACGCAGCGTGATAAGATACTGCACTTTGCACGGATGCCAATAGCCTGAGGCAGCTGGGCCAGTAAGTCACTGGCAACTCGGAAGCTATTCAGCCAGGGGTGAGGCAGGGATACACAAAATACGATTATACAAAAGGGGCAAGAGGTTGGGAAAAGCAAAACGCGAATAAGATTCAACCCGATGGGAACCCCCAAGCATGCAAGATTGCGGTCATACCTGGAGTTGGAGGAGCGTGCGCGGCGCGGCGGAGAGTCCGAACTGTGACCAGTGGCCCAAAAAAACAAAAGACATTAAAAAAAAAAAAATTCATCAACGGGTAAGCCATGCACGTCGCTTGAGTCGACAAGGCTTTTAGCGATGTTTTGTGACGTTCATCAGTTCCTTAATTGCGTACCTGACAGAGCCACGGGATCGAAGCGTTGGTGGCGAAATGGGACGAAGCGCAAGATGACTAAAGCTGTCATGCCGCGAAGCGCCCGTGCTTTCCAACTCAAAGGTGGGGCTCGTCATGGCGGAGGAGCTGCTACTCACAAAGGAGGAGCCCAGTAGGAGGGTGTCGTGCGTGGCATTGGGTGACCAGCCAACATCGCGGGGGTGATGGCCCACATGGGTGGATATTGGCACGGGCGGCATGGAAGTATCCCCACCAGACGAAGCACCCAAGTCGCGATCAGAGCTGCCCCAGGATTGGCGCCGCACCGGAGTCGCCTGCTCACTGAGCTGGCGAATGGGAGAAAGCCGCGGTGAATTGGATGGCGTGACAAACGTCAAGTCCTGCCCTTGCTGGTCGGCCAAGGTAAAGCTTCCCTCCAGCAGCGGCTACCAAGCGTGGTGACAAGCAGTGTGATCATGCGATGAGTTTCGTGCCAATGCAAAAATGTAGAAAGGGCATCCCAAATGCTGGAGTTTGGAGGCAGCAGTACCGAGTCAGTATCCAGCAACGCTGCGGCGGGCGTAACAGGCATGTTCATTCGTTGAAGCGTCGCGCGGTGATCGGCCTCCTCGTGTTCGCTCATCAGCCAGTATTGCCGCTCCACGCTCAATTTGCGCATCAGTGAAATGTGCGATAAGCGATCTAGGTTGTCCACGCTACGCATATATCGCCGGTCAACCGCATCGACGCAAAAGTGATAGTTGCGAATCAGTGTGAGTTGCACGTGGGCCATAAAGGCTGGCTCGATCAACGTGACACGGCACTGCCGTTGCTGCTCCAGGGCATCCTCGCCTTCACGAAAGACGGGAAACTCCTCAAAGATGGTCCCTTCAATCTCCGACAGCAAGCAGCGAACCTACGCCCGGTTTGCATCATATCGTTAAGGATTGCGTCAGTGTGGACCGTACTCCATGCGCCATGGCCCTCGCTCCAAGGTTTTCTGGTGTGATACTACAGCTGCGTATCGATGCCTGGCTAAAGTTGCCGTATGTTGTTGCCAGCGCACGATCAGCAGACGTACTTCTAGAATCAGGTCGCGAAGAAGTAATGGGTGGCAGGGCGCGCTGTAGCTGGCGTTGACAACGTCTCCCAAGTCAGCCAAGAAGCGACCCAGTGGGTGTGTTTTATTGTGCAAAGCCGAAGCCAAAAAGCGCCTAGCAAGCATGGTAAAGGGCGTCAGCGCAGTAGGTCTGCTGCGAGTGTTTCTTTGAGGCGCAAGCACGTACTGAGCAGCCTCGAGTGTCTGCGGTTTGTCAACCAGCTCGCGCTCAACGGTCGGAGCGACGATCATATCACGTGGCGCATCTGTTTCAGAAGACGACAGTCGCCATTGATGCACGGTGCTATGCGTGCTGAGTTCCGTGTCAAGCCGAACAAAAATGCTGCGCCAGCGCTGGGTGTAAGGCACGGGCCTTAGATCCTTGCCCTGCAGCATGCTCTTGAGCAGCTGGCTACGTTCGACTACCCATGGAATAGAACTCGAGTCCATGCTCATTCCTGAGAAGCTGGAGGTGGAGTTGCGCATCGACGCTGGGCTGCCACCAAAGGCCGTGGCAGGTGCGCTGGTATAGGGTCCCGTGCACAGGGGCCCAAATCGGTCGCCATCGACTTCAGAGGTCTGTGGCAAGAGACCTGCATCAAAGGCAAGGGCCACGACGGCATCTAGTCCCGTGCCAATCGATTCGGCAGCCCGCCTGGCTCGACCAGCGTGAACAGCACCATTGAACTAGCAAGTGTCAAAGATTCAAGGGTCAGCATCGTCATCAGGGCTCCCAATAGGGCAATGGGCAAACGCTGTGGTAAACTAGAAAGGCCGGTACCTTCAGCATCGAGTCGCTGCCGATAGCGCCTTGAGCTTGGCCGTCCAGGATCCAACCATCCCCAGTCACCATAAGTGCGCGACCCTGAACATGGTCGTCGGCACCGCACTCGGCCACCACAGCAAACTGCACAGCACATTCGAGAGGAGGAAGGCGCAGACCATAGTGATCAGCAAGTTTTCTCTTGCACCGTCTCGCCAAAGAGCGTGGGCAGGATGGGTGGTATCTGATTTCCTCAACAAAAGAGCACACACCTCGGGATCTGAGCTCTTTGCGTACATCCAGCCAATGAGATGGCCTGCCGAAAAATGGCCTCGGATGACACAGCCATTCTTGACCAAAATGCCTACACCACTTGACGGTCAGACCCTTTAAAACGGGGGCTCGATCAAGACGAAAGCGAGGGCAGGATTTTTGTCAAACCTGGTCCACTCCGTTGTTCCTGCTGCCACATGCCTACGTATCGTTCCTCCACCGCGCGAAACACTCCATAGCCATGTCGCTGATCATGTTGCCAGCCACCGTGGTAGGTGCTTCCGTCCGAAAACGTAATGATGCCAAAGCCATGGCGCTCACCTCCCAGCCATTCGCCTGCGCCCACATCCAAATCACGAATAAGAAAAAGCTAAATCACATCACTCAAACAACCTGATTCCCAGCTCATGCAAGACCGCTCGTAGCCGCCCAGGGATTGTGTATCTGGGAAGTCCAACGCGAGGCGCACCCGAGTACTTGTCGTTATTGTGATACTGAACAGTGGCGTGACCATGAAGCAAGCCGCGAGACCAGTTGCCAGTAGCCATGGCAATTGGAGATGCCGCCTGCATGCCCATGACCCACCACACCAGCCTCGTTAGGGTCCCCGAAAAAAAAAAAAAAAAAACCCCCTCCCGAGGAAACGAAGCAACATGGAATAACGAGCTAGGAAAGCTGGGGAGCTATGCTTTGATTCTTGTCTTCGCAGTTTTAAGCATTGAACATGGGCGTACCGGGCCGCTTTGAAGCGTAGCATAGCCGTGGCAAAGTCCATTGTGAAATTGGCCGTCGTACTTGCGACCGTCAATGCAATGCATGCTGCCTTCGCCATGTGGACGTGCTTGTCGCCACATGCCCGTGTAAGTGGCATCTCTGATGGGATTGCAGTACAGGATGAGATATGTGCACTTCTGAGCCAAAGACAAGTGCAGGTCATCATGCAGACAAACTTGTAGAAGGGGTGATTTTTGAAGTGATAGCGCGCGGTTCGCGTGTGCGTGATTGCGGATGGGTCATCCACTTCTTCGATGCAGCCTGTATCCAAGGAACAACTCTGAATGTTGGTGCTCTTGACGTTGTTGGCGAGTTCGTGACGCTTACCGCCATACGTGCTTTGGTTCATGGCTGCTCGCGTCAAAATTTCAGCCGTAGCGGCATCAATGTGACGCTTCCACAATTGGGTAGCTCTGATCGAGCAAGATCAGACGTAACGGCGGGCAGCAACGCGCAAAAAGATTGAGAACGGCTTGAAACACAGCGCACAAGCCAAAAGGTTGACGGCAGCTCGCGGCGTGCGATCACTCACGAAGGCGTTGCAGACATCACGATGCTTTCCTCTGGCGTCACGAGCCGTAGGCGGCTTTCACCGCCATGCACCTCCTCAAAGGCCCATATGGTGGCCAGTGGCAGCATGCGTGACACAAACACCTAAGCCAGCACCGGCAAAGTCCGGTCTGAGACCCGCTACGAATTCAAATTCCCTCAAGAGAAGGCGTGAACCGGTGTCACGTCGCACCTGGACAATGAGTAGGCCATCATTGAAGAGCACAATCCAAGAGCCGCTGGACATGACACCCTTGAAGCCAATGGGCACCTGTCAATCAAGATTTGTTGCAACGGCAAGCACGAAGCATATGTGCATGACTACTAAGTACCAGCGGCTCCTCAGCTCGAAACATGAATCTTGGCCAGGCTGACTGCAGAGGCCAAATACTAGGTACCAACCTCTTTGCTATGCAGCAAAAGGCGCCGCGAGGGGCTTGCGTGAGCGCGGCGCAGCGCAGCATGCAGTTCCCAGAATTGACATGTCTTTTCCGCATCAGCCAGCAGGTCGGTGGCCTCTTGCAACGCATGTATCCATGCATCAGCCGACGTCAAGAGCGCACTTGCCACTTCTGTGTTTTGTGCTTCACAATGTGCTGAAAGCTGGCGAAGTGCTTCTGGATACGCCTGCGCCCCATGAAATCAAAATGAGGTGGCGCAATGCTCAGCCAGCCACGACTCGCAGGCAACGTGCAGGCTAGGTGGGGGAGGGGGCTTCGCAAGAGAATTTTACAAACCTGGGCATGATCAAGAGGTAGTGCAAAAAGCCACTCAACCAGGCCATGATCCGGGACCCCCTGTCATACCAAAGCCGCTGCATTGAGATTTACGTCCAACACACCACTTCACACTCGTGGTCAAGTAATTAGTATCGAAAAGCCTACGGGTTTGGTCAAAAGCAAGTTGTGGCTGTGTAGATCTTGCAGCACGCTGCGCACGAGTGTGGAGTCTCGCAGCGTGCCCATGGCGATGGCATTGCTCAATGCTGTTGCATATTCGATGTGCTGTTGAAGAGCCAACCGCAGTTGAGCATCAAGCTCTCGCACAAACTCCACCTCTGGCAGCTGATCCCGCCGGTACTCTGTCGTGGTAGCATTCATCAGGCCATGAGAGAACAGGAGTGGACAATTGGAGGTGCAGGTGTGCGGCCAGGAGAGCAACTGGCTTGGCGTCGGCAGAGGCCACGCACTCATTAGCAAAGCGGATGTATGACAACTGAGCTGCCAGATGCTTGAATAAATGTTGAGTAGCTTCCGAAAACAAGAGGCCCCAGAAGCCTCCAAGCTATCCAAAACATCTACACAGCCATTATCTAGCCATAAGTCTCACGCCGCCATGCTGATCACGGTGGAAAGCAACACGAACCCGATTGTCGTCGCAGTCGAAGTAGAGCCCCTCGCAACAACAACCGAAGACGATTACAGTGGTTCTGCTCCTTGCGTAAAAGGGCACCCACCACGTGCGTCTAGCCGATCGTGAGCCAGGTGCGGCAAGTGAGCAAGACGACCTGCACAAGATATAGTGGTGGATAGGGACGGCCAGCAAAAGTCTTGTTCGTCGTGCTTACCAACAAGTTGGCGCGGCGACCGTGCACGACAGCCAACCATGCCTCGCCGGCAAAAAGATCCAGGACACTCTCAAAGCCGTGGCTGTGCATTGGCTGCTCAGGCGGAGAGGCATCCAGCCAAGCATGACGTAGCCTTGGGGTGAGCTTGGCAATAGGAGCAACAAGGGCGGAAACACCAATTCACGAGCAACTGACCACAAAGCCGGGCACCGCGGCCTGCCCCTCAAGCGCTCTACAGGTCAGGCATTGTGCGGGCAGCGTGGTGAGACGTGTTGGCGCTCTTATTTTTCAAAAAAGGCAGATCCATGCTAGAAGTCAGGCCTGACGTGCAAATGACCAGGCTCACCGTGTTTCAGCTTGCACGCTTTCGGGTGCCGCCACCCAAAGCCGGCGCAGCTTGCTGCTCTCGTGTTCTGGCCAGCATACACAGCGTCAAGGATGAGGGGTCAAGCTCCTTGGTCGACAGACATGTCCACCCGAGCCAGGGAGATGTTTCAGCCATGACCAGGTGCGGGACCAACCCAAACTCATTTCCAGTGCCGCGCTGTAGTTTTCACCGGCACCGATGCGGACGACACCACGAGCCAATAAATCACCGACAAGGATTGGGGTTGAGCTTGTAACGAGCCGCGAGTTGCCTAGGCCAGCGCGTCGTGAATTATGAGCGCAATCAAGGGCCTCATTTTGAAACGAGCAAAAAAGGCGACTCAAACAAGCGCACCCAATTGAGCGTGGCGCCCGGATCCAAAGGCATAGACATGGCCCAAACAAGTCAGAGCCATCGAGTGCTGCCCCCCCGCTGCCAAGCCCACAACGCGTAATTTCTCCAGGGGCTTGATAACAACGAAGCGCGAGCGTGGCACTGTATCGCCCAAGCCCAACTGTCCCTCGGAGTTCTATCACACAAGGTCGTATCAAGGTCCATGCGTTTGAACTTGGAAAAGGGCCGTGCCGCTGTAGGTGAAAAAGCAGACACATACTTGTCCACACGCCAGGACCAAGGAGTCGCCGTCAGTAGCGGACGGGTGTAAGTGTCGGTTACGGGCCAGAAGCAACGTGTGCGAGCTGCCGCAGGTCACCTCCTCGGCACATAATCCTTCCAGCGCCGAGACTCTGAGCGAACGTAAGGTCCCAAGCGAGGTGAGAAGACGCACCAACACAATACTGGCCCGTTTTCAAAGTCAGATGACTCAAACGATCCGGCAACACGATGAAGAGCAGGACTTACGAAGTAAACCGCTCTGCCACTCCGTCGTCGCCTAAAAGTGGTATGACACCTTGTAATTGAGAAGAGCCGCGAATAGAAACAGGAAAAAAATAAAAATAAAATAAAAGGCCAACTCCAAATAGGCATGTAGGGCCAAAACTGACCAAGTCCAAGCTGTGGCCCAGCGCCTGCCATCCACACATTGCCAGCCGTGTCCACGAGCGCCGAGTGCGTGGCTCTGTGACAACGCACAGGGGCAGGGCAGGCGAAAGTGAGAAATTGTTACAGGAGTGGCTATCACTTTGGAGGGTCAAGTGCACTGCAAGACAAACCCGCAAGCCATGCTACGGATGCCTGGTGAGGCTTTGTCGAAGACCGGGGTGTTCCACGGGCATTCAACGGCTGTCGGCAAGTATACCGCTGACATGGCGTCTAAGCGCCAAATCCGACATTTGCGACATTTGAAGCTGTGAGTGAGAGCAAGAGGCTGGCCTCGTCTCACTGAGCAGCCAAGTCGGGAGCTGACCTAAAGCACATTGATGACTCTCGTTTGCTCCCCAGGCCCATACGCGATTATCACAGCCGAGCGCCTGATTGCAAAGGTGTGAGCCCGTGAGCTTCAGCACGCCAGCATAGTCAGAAGTGGCGCGTGGCAATTCGGAAAAAAAAAACGGACACGCACCAGAGTGTGAGCACGACCTGCTGCAAGCATTTGCACGTGACCCGCTTCCTGTTGAAGCTCGGACACAATTCGCAGCTGCAAAACGACAAGGAGGATAGAGGACAAGGGCTTGAGCATTGATGACATTCACGAGCCACAAGATAAAATGTGCCACCATAATCTGGGCCGCTGGAAACGGACCTTTGTCGAAGCCGAGGCATCGGAACCAAGGCCAAGCTGCCCGAGTTGATTGCTGCCACGGGAGTGGACCGTCCCGTCGGTTGTTAACACCACAATGTGTTCACGACCGCAAGCCACCTGGAGCCAATAAACATGGCATGGAGCAGAGGAGCGCTATTCAATGATGGAAGAGGTGTACAGGTGCAGCGGCATTGTTTGAAGCGCGATTTGCAGACCTGAACAACAGTTTCTTGGTGCTGGAATGGCAAGGGACTATAGGGGTCCACAGAGTTAGAAGAATCAAAAGCCAAGTTGCCGCGATCCGATCAGTTCATGGAGCGAGTGATTGTGATTCACACCAGACCTTGGTAAATTGGTTCCATAGGGTCGCCAAGCGTAGAGATCGGGTGGAAAAGGGGTTGGGGCATCGGTTGTAGGCGCGCCGGGACGGGATCGCGAAAAGGGAGCGATCGTCACGACCAAAACCTCAGCTCTACAACCAGCAGATACAAAACGCGTGGGTCGCGTTGGTGCAAACGAATTCTTTTGTCAGTGCCGAGTGGGTTTGATTGTTGGGTGGGGCAGTTGCGGAGAAAATTCTACTACCCCATTTCGCGACGGACCGTTTCCATTTGGCAGTGTAGGCCTGACGAAAAGCAGCCTCGGCATCATCTGTAGTTTGAGCTTCGGGGAAAAGTTCTGCGAGAGTAAAGGCCAGGAGGCAGTCTTGAAGAGACGCAAAGCGTTGGACGGCCAGGACTGCGAGCAACGATGCCGACGCGACATGAGGGAGGGTGACTGTTAAGAAACTGGATCCTTGGTGCAAGTGGTGTGCGTTCGGCTGACCTGCCCAGGGCGGCATGTCGGTGGATGCGGCATCTTCTCGGCTTTGCGGCGCAGGTTGAATGCAGAGAACATCGCCCGTTTGGAGATTGCGCACGGCAGGCGTTCGAGGCAGGCTGTTGGAACACGTGGTGTGGGCGGATAATACAAGGGCGAGGGTGAAGGTGATGTAGGCGCATTGAGAGTGGGATGATTTGGCACAGGAGGTTGTGCCATCACGGTTACTAACCAAAGACGTGCAAGCCGGCGATTAAGGAGCTGGGTATATACGGGATCGCCCACTGCTAGCTAAGGGAGGGGCAAGTGGGGGCGACCCAAGCAGCCGAGATCAGGACGAGAGGGGGGCATGCAGGCGTAGATTGGTGTGGGTTGCCAACCTGCACGTTGAGCACGTTGCCGATGCAGAGGCTGATGGAGCTTTGAATGGCAGCAATGCTGCGCAACGCCTTCAACGGAGTCTGACAGGTTGCACAAGATGGGGCATGGAAGCCGTGTAAATCAGACCGAGAGCGGGAGCCAGCTGAGATGGGTTGCAGGTGAAGCGGCCCGGCCTTACAGTGCCGGCAGTAGATTCACTGTTTACACGAGCCACAAAGCTTTCAGAGGGCGAGACGGAAGCCTCGGTAGGCTCGGCCGTCGGGTTGGGTGCACGCCTAACAAAGCAGTACAGGCAGTAGGATTGATTGAGGCAGGTGTTCAGGGTGCGCTCGCACTGGTCTGAGGGCACTGGCAGTGGGCCCCCGCCCCCGAAAAATGGTGTATGTCGGTGATGCGGGCCAGGTGGTCCACGTACTTGGCCAAAGCTGCAAGGGAGGCCCCAGCCATGGTCTGTGATCGGGCGCGGCTCATGTTGTTTGTGCCGTGCCACCCTCAGCACTGCTGTGGTGGGCGTCACGGCGCGTGCCTTTGCTGCTCTGATAAGTTTGTGTACGTTTCACATCCAGATGGCACTTGCAAAGGGTGCTACTGCACGATAGCCCCCTTTCAATGCACCCGCTTGACTTGTTCACGCCAAGATTCACAAGCCACTGCCAACCCCCTTAACAAATCGGCACACCCCCTCCCGCCCAGGAGCAACAGACCCTCCTGTCCGCGGTGCGTGTGTTGGAAGGAGCCGTTTTGCGCTTGACACACACGTTGAAGTGAACTCCACTCAAAAGCAGACATGAAAATGCTGACAATTAAATACTGACAACGACAGACACACTCACACACACGCACTATACACCACACACACACGCACAACACACGCACACACACACGCGGGGGGTGGGGGTGGGCGTGTCAAGAGTTGCTTGGCGTTTTTCATTTATTTTTTTTTTCTTCTTCTTCTCCTTCGAGTAGGGTGGGCCTGTTTAGATCGCGCGTTGGGGGAGAGGGGAAACGGCGCTGCTGCGATCGCAGACCCCGCTCTTCATCTTTCAGACACACACATGCTTATCATCCATCATTTTGCCGGTTCTTGCACATGAGATAGGCGCGCGATCGCAGGCACACGCAAGCAGGACACCATGGAAAAGGCACCGATCGTTGACAGCCAACCTGGCAAGACGTCCATGGGACTGGACAACCTTTTTTTGCAAAAGCTTGAGCACATTCAAAACTTTTCCGTTCGCCAGGTTCGTGTGCTTTGGGCAGCGCCCCTGCCAGGCTCAGCGTTACTCGAAGTCCTTTAACCGCCCGCCAATGAACGATTGGGCAGGCCAATGTCTTGGCCGAGGCCGTGACGCTTGGCATCTGGGCCAACACCTACGTCATCTCAGACTTGGATCGCCCCACCCCCGTGCTGAGTGCGTGTGTGGTCCTGTCCCCGCTCGCGTGCCGACTCTCGCTTCCTCGCATTGGCGCTTGATGCCCCGGGTTTGATTCTGACGGCTGCTTCTGGAACGTAGATGCCAAGAAGCCAACCGAAGTGCCCACGCCCGTCTTTTTGGTGCGCGAAGAATCCAACTGCTGTGCTCGCCTGTGCTGCCCGGGCAACCAGTCCTTTTTGGCCAAGGTCTTCCACGCCAAGATGGAGCCTGTTGCTGGCAAGACCCATTGTGGATGCTGTTATGAAGGTCACAAGTAAGCTTGGCGTGCCCGCAGATCGCCTGCTTGTCCTTGATATCCCATCTGCCCACCTGCATGACCACTGGTCCAAGCCAAGCTACAACAAACTCATTCGTGGGCGGCTGGGCTTGATCTAGGTATGAGCCAGACTTGACGCAGCCCGTGGCCATGACCTTGGAGCGCGAGGGCTGTTGCTCACGCTGCCTCGGCTGCTTTGTGTGCTGTGACATGTGTGCTCAACACATGTACATGCACCCCGGGGAAGTTGACGTCAAGCCCGGCACCACGGTCAAGGAAGAGGGCGGCTATTTCGCTCGCACTCGCCAACCTATCGGTGCCGGTGGCTTCCATCCCCAACTCGAGTTGTACACCAACGAAACGCCCGAGGCCAAGGAAACCCCCTTTGCCTACTTTGATGGGCCGTGCCTGTACGGTGGCTGGTTGGGTGTTTGCTTTGATACCATCTTCCGTATCTCCTCCGAGCCCAAGGGCAGCGGTGACCTGGGTCAGATTAAGAAAAATCGCATCAAGTCTTTTAAGGAGTTTTGTATCGCCGCGCTTACCGATGTCGATTGGTTTGAGGTCAATTTACCTGATGACCACGCCAAGATCGGCCCCGAGCAAAAGGCTGCCATCCTTGGTACGGCGCTTCAGCTCGACTACATGCTATATGAGAATGACCTGCCCCCTTGCTACGTTGAGCCCAACGACAAGGGTGCCATCATCTATTGCGTCCTCTGCCAAATGTTTTGCTTTGGAGGCCGCATCCCCTGTGAAATCTGCATCCCTATTGAAGGTAACTAACGTGCTGGGACCTCTCGCGTGCGCCTTTCTTGTGCGATCACCCAGTCCTTTTTTGGTTTGGTTTGCTTCTCCGTGTGGTGTGCGTGTGCTTGCGAAAAGAGTGATGTCACGGTACTTGAGGCGTTCGGCAATGCTAAAAACGATCAATTGTACCACAATCGAAAAACAAGTTCATGCTGGTTTACACCTTATCACTGCCCAAACGATCCTCAAGGGCCTTGAAGGCGTCATGATTGACATTATCCAGCTCCTCGTCAAAGACTTGCTCGACACCTTCCACCTCGGGAATGTAGTGCATCAGCATGTTCTCCACACCGTTTTTGAGCGTAAAGATGGAGCTGGGACAACCAGTGCATGCGCCCTACACACCAAACAGCCATTCATAAAAAAGGCACAGTACAGACCGAGGCACGACCAAGTGAACCAAGTGAGATGGCGAGAGCCCGACGACCAACATCGTGTCACCACAGAGCTCACGAAGCGCAAGCCGGCAAAGGGCCACCCACCGAAAGCCGCAGCTGAACAATGCCGTCCACAAAGCCTTGGAACAAAATGTCACCGCCGTCCTCCTGCACCGCAGGCCTGAACGCAATGGGCAAGCGCGATCAAAGGTGATGCATAAGCACACGAGGTCTGCACGGCTTGGCACGGCTTGGCGCATTTTCCACCATCTCCCGCCACCCACGCATCATCTGGCAACTGCGTCAAGTGATACGTACCGAATGCGTGAATCGAGCAGTTCCTTGATCATGGCCACAATCTCGTCGTCATCCTCCGAGACGGCTGTGCAAAGGTTCAAAAGAGACGCCATGCCTTGCATGTGAGCAGGGAATGGGTGCGGACGATGGATCCTCCAAACAAAGGGAGATGAAGAGACGGGGGAGCATGGGTGGCGACGTGGCCCAAGATGAGCCACATACCCGTATCGGTGGGTGCCTCATAGCTGTCAAGAACCACGGGCTGGTTGCTGGCGAAAAAGTCCATCATGGTGGCGTAAATGTTGGGTTTCAGCGTGCTCCATTCGGCAGCTTCATCCTTGTTGATCGTCACAAAGTCCGAGGCCAGGAAAACCGACTTGACGCCATCCACGCGAAAGAGCGCCCTGCCAATGCCAGATGAACATGGGTAAGCCAAAAATAATTGCCACATCCCTCTTGCCCATGGGCATATCCACATTGCAGCCATGCCAGTAAGTTGCCGGCGCACACAATTTTGATCAATGGGTGCACGTACCGGGCTAGCGGTGATTGATGTGCTGCCGCTGCGCTGGTCAATTCCAGTGTGCTGCCAGGCAAAATCTAGTTGACCCAAAACAACAGCGTAAGGGCCACAAATGGGCAGCCGTCACCGCCAAGGGATGTATATGGGACCAGTGCAGAGGCAAACGACAGACGGAGGCTACATACATCAACACCGGGATAAAACATCAAACTGTTGGGGTTTGGGGTGTCGCGCGTTTGAATGAACATGGTGCGACGAGCCAGGACCGGCCGGAAGGGACGCAGCGGCCGAGCAGATGCAAAAGGCAGCGCGCCCGCGCTGATCGAGCGCAGCTGCGCCGCTAGGCTAAAGTGCCACCCAATGTGCGGGACGGAAAAGTCCCAGTGCGAATGAGCGAGGGCAAGGAAGGGACAGCAACAGCAACGCAACCCTGCCCGGCGTCGGATAGGGCCATGTTTGTGGGGTGTGCCAGTCGTACCGTGGCAACGTTAGGGACCTTTGCGCCAGCACAGCCGAAGCTCCGGTCACAGAAGCAAGCGAGCGCGTCGCGCGAGGGATCATTCGTGCAGCCATGGCGCAGGTTGTGTTGGCCAGAGCTGATCAAAGATCACAGAGGGCACACAATGATGCCTCGACAGCTGAAGCGCAAACCCAACACCACCAGCTTGAGTCGTCAGCGCCACCGTTGAGCATGCACATGGAAAGTAGCCCAAGGAACACGCCCAACCACGAACATACCTGGCACACACGCTCTTCAGAACCTCGCGCAAGGCCTCTGACCGAGCTAATCAGGACTACAACGACGACGCCGCCGACGACGATGACCACAGAGAGAACGTGAGAGAGAGAGAGCAGAGAGAGAGGGAGAGAGAGAGAGAGAGAGAGAGAGAGAGAGAGAGAGAGAGAGAACAAATGAAACACCTTCACTCGTGCGCAAGAGCACACTGAACACACACACACACACACACACATCGTTGACGAGAAAGAGATGAGAATGTCGTCAGATGGCAATGTCAGATGTCAGATGTCAGATGTCAGATACTTAATTTGGCTTGTCAGATTTATTTGTCAGAAGAAACGGGTCTTCCTGCAAAACTTGGCGTCAGCGGTGGCGGCGGGGCGTCCGTCTGGGCCGTCGGGTGCGAGATCGGGTGCGTGCGTCTGCTTTGGTGTCGGGCGTCGTCGCGGGATATAAGGGATGTCATCGGATGGAGGAGTGGAAGAAAGTTTGACACGTTGGTGTGTATTGTGCAAAGACACGAGGTTTGCCGAGCTGATTCCATCACTGGCCCTTGCATGTAGCTTTCGCTTTCACAGCCAAGGCCCGCAACATGCCGAGTTTTTCACCCCCTGGTGCCAAGGATGGCTTTGCCGTGGGCAGCCACTGCTGCTGCACCACCCGGTGAGTTGTACCAACGATGGAAACTCAGTTCAGCTGCTACCATCCACCGACACCTTTGCTTCTTTTTGGCCCTACCTATCAAACGATCGAACTCTCACCCTGGCTTGTTGGGACGCCTGCCTGATCGACAGCAAAGGGGTGCTCTATGTCATCGGCTATGATGAGCCGACCCGCTTTGGCACCAAACTCAACAAACATGGGCATGCGTACGTTGCTATTTTGTTGTGCCGCGCCGCCCATCTGGGCCTGCCTCGGCCCTGCTCACGCTTACTCTTGCTAGGGGTCACAACATGCTGCTCGAGTTTAATGCCGCCAATGAGGCCTACCTAGCATCCAATGCAGGATCCTCCCCCGGCGCGCTCACCATCTTTGATGTCAATGCAGTACGTTTCACCGCTCAAAGTCTAAAAAACCATGCATTACGCAGACATGCATCTGCCTCTGGCACCTTTCAATTCCTGTTCTTCACTGCCTGTTGTTGCTCTGCTGGCGCGCACAGCAATCGGTGGTCAAGGAGTATCCGCTCACTGAGCAAGGCAACCTCACGTTCGTCAGACCCTGCGTCTACCTCTCGACAGCAGCGCTCAGCTGTGATTGGCCCTTGCACCCCCACTGATGGGTTTTGCCCCCTCCCGAGTCTCACGTTGGCACAACCTCTGTTTAGTGCGATTTCCTGGTGTTGGGCCGAGCCCAATATTTTGGCTTGTTCCACATCAGAGAATATCCAGTATACCGTAGATCTGCGCGATCCTCGGGCCAAAATGTCCAATCGGGGCATTGCCTGCGTGTCTTTGGCTTGGAAGCAGTACGACGTGTTACCTTTGCCTTATATGACCAATGGCCGCCACCAATCCTCACATGTCTCTTTGCGCTTGCATGCTGCTGAACGCCCAGCTTTGACAATTTCACGGTCACCATGGGCAGCAACGGTGGCCAACTTCACAGCTGGAACTTCAAGCGACGTTATCATAGTGCACACCGCTATGCTGAGACGGCGCTCATGTCAATTGTACGGTTCTTGTCCGACTCGAGCCCTCACTCGCTTCATCCGATGAGGACGACGATGATACTGGCTTCCTTTTGATTTGATTTGATTGGCCATGCAATCCTTTTTTTCCTTGCCATGATACTGTCTCCTGTTGTTGGTCCCTCGCTCTCTCACTTGTTTTTTTCTCCGTTCTTCATTCTTCACTGGCTCTCTCAGGACTGGGCCGCCAATGATCCTCACCGGCTTTTGACATGTGCCGAGGGAGCCAACGAACCCATCAAGCTGTGGGACACCAATCGCAACGTCATCCTCAACGAGATTAGCGGAAACGACTTTTATCAGGCCCGCTTTGCCCCCTTTGGAGCCGGAATTCTGACCGCGAAGCGGCTTGACGAGGTCTGCTCTGGCCACCCCCCGCTTCCTTTGCTGACGCTACAGCTACACCAACGCGTTGGAGGGCCATTCTTATGGATGTATTGAAATCTGGGACTAGACGCGGTCGCTCGTGCAACTCTGGAATATCGGCCAACTGACTGCACCTCGTCTTGAGGTGGAGGCGCATCGAGGTACGGACCTACCCGGACCTTAGCCTCAATGCGGCAGTGTCTCACCCATGCTATGCCTGCCTAATTGCTTTTAGGCCACGGCTGGCGGCGCGTGGATGCTGATAGCTTTGATCTTGTCGTTCAGAAGCGTGATCGCATCCACGTGGTTACGCTGTCCGAGGAGGATCTGGCCGCTCTTTCCTTCAGCCGCCCTCGCGTGGCCCAACCAGAGAGCCAGGATGATGAAGATGAGGTGCGCATCCTCATACCCTTGTGTTGTCCCCCCAACTCACAGAACACGCGCACACGCCGCTGCTCTCACCCGTCGTGTACGGAGTCATCAGGATGTACTTGAAGGCGTACCACTGCGGCCTCACACTTTTACCCAGGACCTCAGCCGCGCAGTCCGCCAGCGGCCACAGGGAGCTTACATCAATGCAATCGATTACACGCTGCGCCGGTGCGCTTTTGCTTTGCCAACCAGACCACATGCTTTGAGCTTGAAATGCGGATGTCGCGCGTCCTCATCATTTCGTTGTCTGTTGTCACGTCAGCTTCCACGTCAACGTCGTCGTGGAAATGGGTCACCAACATAACATGGTGGCCCAATTTCGTGTTACTGAAGTAGAAGCGCGCAACGGAGAGCTCACACAAAACTTTGAGGTACCCGCCTCCGCCTGGCCCCAAACGTAAAGCTGAATAGGACCTGACTGCCGTCGTTGTATCATGTGTGACGCCATGCCCGTTTAGTTTCTGCCCAGCACTACCATCGATGCAGCCAGCAAGACAGCCATGATCTCGGTGTGTATACGGCTCCGAGCCTGCTTGAGCATCCAAGAAGCACTTTTCTCTGATGCGCCACGTCCCTTGCCCATGTTGACAGCGAATGAACAACACAGCCAATGCGTGTCGACAACAAAACAAATATTGGATTGAGCCCATGGTCCAGGAAGCCATCACCTTTATTCAGGTAAGGTTTGCTTTGACTCGGTTGGTTACATCCTTGCTCTCGTTCTACGATTGGCTCATCGTGAACTGTTGCTAGACTTATGCCAAAGAAGTGCGCAATAAGAACTCATTGCGCAAGCGTACACAAGGCAATGCACGCAGTACGTCGCTCTCCGAGCTCCGGTCGTTTCTCGCTCGCCATGAGGCATGCCACATGCCGCGACCTTCGCTCCACCCTGGCTGTTGCTATAGCTGGCCCTCTCTGTTGCTCTCTTTGCTCTGCACTTGTTGTTCGCTATCCTTCTTCCTCATCTCGCCCACCAACGCACAACCAATGTCTTAGACCGGGCTAATCTGGAAGACTTGCGGCGCATGTCGGGTGCCGTCTTCACCGTCGGTGGCAAGCTCATTGTCTTTACCAACAAGGTACAACACCCTTTCTGTTGGGCTCAGCCTTGCATCGATCCTGCCGCAAAGCGACGTAAAAAGCTGTTCTCATGGGGACGTGTTGACGTAGGCATTTGCTGGGGAGCCCCTCAAGTCGCCGCGCGAGGGTGGTGTTGGTCGCACACGAGGTGCGTTCTAGAGCGGGCTTGCAAACCATTTTTAGGGGTGGCATAGTGGTTCCGTGGGGTGCTGCCAGCACGTTTGCTGCGCTTGACTCATCAGCCGGGTTCACCAGGTTCTTCGGCCAGTGTGCACAAGGCTCAGGCGTCAAGATTCCTGCCGGACTGGACATTAGGCATGCGGTACGCGTGGTTTCCCGTTTGATCGCACGAACCTCGTGCAGAGCTTGAATGTTTTCCTTACTGGCCGTTTGTTGGCGCCTCTATGCCTCATGCTACGCCGCATGCCGTTCTCAGAACGCGGGACGAGAAGCGCGTTCTCAGCGGGACCAACATGGCCGTCAAGGAAGTGGCGATGGACCGCCGTAAACTGGCCGAACCCGTTTACATTGTGGATGTACAGGTCCCGCTGGGTTTCCAACGCGAGCATCAGGTACACACTTGCCTACAACTGACGTGCAACATCGTGCCGGCTTCAAGCTAATCTGCAATCATGCACGCCCAACGTTAGCGCACGGCCTTGGCTTTGTTGTTTGAGAAGCGCAGCCAGGAGGCACTCGACTATCTTGCCCGCCAACCGTATGTCGTCGAAGCCTAGCTGCCATGCTACTCTGCCATCTCGCCTCACCGAGGTACTCGTCATTAGCTTGGCCAAGCTGCAGTTGAGCAACGTGTGGCCAGCCGTGAGCCCTGCTATTCGTCTCTTGAGTGCCTTGCCCTCTGGTACGTGGCCCACCTCTGGTCAATTAGGCACAAGACTCTCGCACGTCCATAATTTTGAAGGACAGGGTCCTCTGCTTCATGTCGTCGCCCATCAAAACTTTGGCCCATCTGCCCCGGGCTTTTCTCACTTTCTTGTTTCGTCAGTTGACATGTGGCTACATCATCCCTGTGGCGGCAATCTGCTGACGCGGGCTTTTGAATTTTGTCATTCCGCCCGTGACGTTCAAACGCTGGTCAGTTGTGTGCGTAGCTCCAGGTAGCCATTTCGATCCCCATTCACCTGTGCCTGTGATGGTTTGCTGCTTGATAGACAACCTTGGCGCAAGTCGTCACCTCGGCCAGCAAAAATGGCCGTGAAGCATTCCAGGCAAGCGGTTCGATGCTCAGCGCTGTCTCATTGGGCAGTTGCCGTGATGCTCATGTTTTGCACTATCCCCATTGACAGGTTCTCTGTGAACAGTCACGCTATGCCTGGGTGCCAGCCATGCTGGCGCACCTTGCATACTTGCGCGTGCAGAATGAGCACGAGGCCGCAGCGGCGGTACGTTGTGCGATTGAGCGTGTTGGCTGGATGAACAGTGACTCAAAGTAGTGTCTATTATACTTTGCTGTTATGTGTCCCACCTAACGGCAATGCTGTGCGCTGGGTTCCAACGATTCTTTCAGATTTGTGCCATCATACCCCTGCCAGCTGCGCATTATCTGGCGCAAGTTGACCAGCAGGATCTCAAGCCCCTTGAAGCCATGACAACGGGCTACGCTTCTGTAAATGGTCAGTGCTGTTGCCTAACTTTGAAGTCGTATTTTTCTTTTTTTCCTTTTTTGCCATCATTGAAGACCAACCGGCATCTCGCGCGACGGCTGCCTGGCATTCACACGAACTTGCCCACACCCTGCCCACCCTGCCTGTAGCTGCAAGCAAGCAACTCTGTTTGACGTGTGCGGTCTGCAGGTTTGTCTTCGCCTGCACATCCAGCCCGCCGTACGGTAGACCCGCACATCCCCGTGTTGACGATTGCATCTCATTGCCTCGCTTCTGTCTCATGCTCGTGCAGGTTGCCAGCTCAACTGTACACGCTGTGTCCCGGCTGTGGACACGGTGGGCATTTGGAGCACCTGGCAGCCTGGTTTGCTGAAAACAACGAATGTCCCACTGGTTGTGGCTGTGACTGTGCCTCCATGGCATACGATTTCAGTGGTGAACCTTTTGCCTAGGTGCCTCGCCCGTGCCAGTGGTCCGTCCCAGTGGTGTCCAAGCGTCTAAATTGAGTGTAGCTCTTTTCTTTTAGAGACATGAAGAACAAAAACAACCAGTTTGTGATTTTTTTGTGTTTTTGTGTTGTAAAGCAAAAATTTAATTACCCCTCCATTTTGTTGTTGCTTGACAACAAGCCAAGCAAAAGTCAAACAAGAACGGATCACTCAACGGCAGCGCGGTGGAGTGTCAATCTGTGCTTCTGCCTTGCCTCTCTCGGTGACACACGCACTTGACGTGCGCCGTGTCAGATTAAAACACAGTGATGGTGAGCTGAAACATGCCCTCCTTCCGCGCGTCGCACGGGTTTCCTTGCTCATGAGCCCGAAATGGAAAACTGCCTAGTCGTCCCTGCAACCCACCAACAAAAATGAACCTTGGGAGCGAGACCAAGAGGTTCTGTCCATGTATCTGGTGGAAAAGGTTAGTTCGTTGCAGCTGATCTCCATCCGATGGGAGTCAACAGGCCGCTCACATCACAATTTGCGACTGGCCAGGAGAAGCTGCAAAGCGAACACGCCGCGTACATGAAGTCACACCCGGAGCTGGGCGCCATCCTCCAGGACTTTTTGAATCACCTGCTCGTACACAAGCCCGATGACTGTTTTGCGGCAGCTAAAGATTTTTTTTCAACGTACGCGACAACGCACAACAAGCCTCGCTCGGCAGCGTCTGCATAACTGAAGGCGCTCAGGCTGGCAGTCTTAGGTTTGACTCTTTGTGTCGTGTAAAAAGGATTTTCCAGTCGGACAACTCCCCTGGTCTTGTGTGAAAAAGTGAGCATGGTCAAGAAGTTGAAAGTATACTTGAATCGATCACATGGAAATAAAACCAAGAGCCTGCCTCCCGCACGCACACACACACACACGAGCGCCGTTTGAAACGAAGGCCAGATTTACAGGATGCCGTCCTCATCCTCGTCCTCTTCTTCTTCTTCTTGTTGCGCCTGCTTTTCTTGCTCTTGGGCCTCTTCTTGAGCCTCTTCTTGAGCCTCTTCTTGAGCCTCTTCTTGAGCCTCTTCTTGAGCCTCTTCTTGAGCCTTTTCTTGAGCCTCTTCTTGAGCCTCTTCTTGCACCATCGTCTCCTCCTTTGACGCTTCAGACACTACCTGAGCCTCGGCTGCGGCATCGGCCTCAGCCTGTGCCAGGTTGGCCTCCTCATGGGCAAGGTCACCCTCAATCTCGCCAAGAGCCTGGTTCATTTCGCTTTCAAAGGTATCGGCAGCGTCGGCACCACCAGCAGGGGCCTTGGCCTCACCCTCGGTTGCCGAGTAGGGAGGCGGTTGCTCACCCTCGGCAGAGGCAGTGGTAGCCGGGTTCGTCTCAGGAGCAGGTGGGGCCGTGGCCTTGACGGGCTTGGGTGCAAACAAGGCGGATCGCTCAGCATCAGCAGCTCCCGTGGGATCAGACGACGAGGAAACCCCCAAAGGATCGGGGCATTTTAGTTGTTGGCGGGCCAACGAGATGATCTACTCGGCGTGCGTGAGTGGAAGATGACCAAGATCAAGACCAGTGCAGCTGGTGTGGGCGGCGCATCAAGATCAATACACAACCCTGGCTACTCACGTCATTCTGGATGAAGGACATGGTTTGCTGCTGCAAGACACTTTGCAAACGCCTGTCATCGGCCTCCTCCATCGCTGTGAGGAGATCATTGGCACAGCTGCCTTCAGCGGAGGTGGCGAATCCCGTAAAGCTGGATGGATGGATCCGAGCATGCAGCAATAGATACAGATGTGAGCCTGCTGACACTGCGGGCCGTACGGTAAACAGTTCGGCGGGCTGCGCTCTGGACCAAAGCTTCCTACTTTGAAACAGCCTCGTCATACACGCGTTGTGCCGCCACCGTGTCTTCCTGCAACAGCTTGATCACCAGTCGGCCCAACAGGGACTGGTGCACAAAGCCGGCGCTGGCCGTCTCGCTCAGAATGGCAGCTTGCTCCTCTGCATCATTGGCGCGGAAGTGAGTCGATGGCGCCAGAGAACACGTTTGGAACGGGATCAAGAGAACGTACCGAGCAGTTCATAGGCTCGGTCCAAATCACCCAGCTTCATGGCCAGGCCAATTGCCGACTCGATGGGTCGCTTGCACTGGCGGACCTTATCCTCATCCTTGTAGAGCTCGCAAATGTCCACGTACAGTGCCAGCGCCACCTCCAACTGTTTTTCCTTCACACAGGTTTTGGCTATGGCAGAAGGTGGAGGCATCAGAATGGGACCTGGAGGAAAAACACAGGGAGACACGGGGAGATTGTCCGGGCGGGCGGGCGGGCGCACCGGCTTTCTCCAGAGCTTGGGCTGCGGCCTGATAGTTGCTAGAGAGGCGATACGCCGTGGATGCCTCCTCCAACAGGGACCGAAACTGAGTAAAGTCAGCCTGGGACAAGCGAAAACCAGGTTGGAGGAGCCCGGAGCGGCGTCAAGGGCGGCATTGCGTGTGGCGTGTGAGCACGCTACAATGTGGAAAAAATTTGAGTCACTTGAGCAAGGCAATTAGGAACCCACCAGCTCCTTGGCTGAGGCGGCAGCATTTTCCAGGGATTGCCCCACATGGTACATGGACCCCATGGCCTGATGTGACTTGCTTGCCTTCACGTACGCTTCAATGGACATGCCGTACTCCTTGCAGAGGCGAAACGCCATGCCTACAAAGCTTGCGAGTGTGAGTGTGGAGGAGGCTGCCAGGGTCTTATGGGATAAAACGGGATCCTGGCTACCAGAACCAATTTCCTGGAGCAAGTCAGCTCAACCCACCAGCCTTATCATAGTAGAGGGAAGCGACTTCATGGTCGGGTTTCCATTTGAACATGGATGTTTTGACGCTGTGAGCATTGGGCGGGCGTCAATGAGTACACATCCCCGGATGAGCAGCCAGCAGACGGGAGCTGCGGGCAAGCACCAACGCTTTCTCGGCCTCGGCAAAGTGCTTCATGGCCTCGGCTTTTTTCTTGGTATCCATCTCGGCGGTTGGAATGGCACGGCACGGCACGGCACGTCTGGTCCAGCACGAAGAAAGAGACGACGCCCTTGTTTTGAAATTCCTGGAGATCATCACCAGCAAGGCCACCAGCAAGAGCCAAGCTGTCAGTCCAAGCCCCGCCGCGTCCTCCCCTGGCCATTGTTCAAAGCATGCGCCGCCCCATCTGCCCCCTCTGTCTCCATGGCACACCTCACCCACCAATGAATCAAAGCTGTCGCGTCCAACACCAACACCAGCAACTCCAGCTCAAAAGCAAATGGCTGATGACAAGACACTAACGTAGAGAGAGACAGAGAGAGACAGAGAGACAGAGAGACAGAGACAGAGACAGAGAGACAGAGCGAGAGACAGAGACAGAGCGAGAGACAGAGACAGAGCGAGAGACAGAGACAGAGCGAGAGACAGAGACAGAGACAGAGAGAGACAGAGACAGAGACAGAGATAGAGACAGAGACAGAGACAGAGACAGAGACAGAGACAGAGCGAGAGACAGAGACAGAGCGAGAGACAGAGACAGAGACAGAAACAGAGAAACAGAGAAACAGAAACAGAAACAGAAACAGAAGAGAAACAGAAACAGAGACAGAAACGACAGAGACAGAGACTCACACAGGCACACAAACCAAAGAGAACACCTCTTCCAACCAATCCATAATCAACCAACTCTCTCTCTCTCAAGCTCTCTCTCAAGCTCTCTCTCTCTCTCTCAAGCTCTCTCTCTCTCAAGCTCTCTCTCGAGCTCTCTCAAGCTCTCTCAAGCTTGCATTTTGTTTGAGCTCAACTTGTGGCAGGATGGCGGGAGCAACATGGTCGGGGCTGGCGCCTGGGATGGAGGCTGTGCTGAGCATG